GAGCTCTGTTTTAGAAATAATGTATGATGAGGGAACAATTCTAAAGCACCATGGTAACCAGAGCTCCAGTTCATACACGCATGGGTTTGTTGCAAACAAACCATGCTTAAACATGTCTTTGTAATCAGTGGATGGCTGTAAATAAGTTCTCCAAGTAATACACTTGCCTCTGTCTTGTTAGGGTGCTTCAAATAAAAATACATGCAATCAAAACAGTAGCTTCTCAACAAAGGCCATATGGAGGAAGCACACCAACCCATGTGATCATGAGGTGTCAATGGAATCAGGTATAAGGCATCAGAAAACCCAAAACAAACCACCATTTTGATGCAAATGAGGGAGGTCAGAATGTAGACCCAAAGACCATCTGTGGACAATTGTACACCACTCACAGAAGGGTCACAAGGAAGGGGCGAGCCAGCCAGGGTGCAGTAAGCACTGATGAAACACACAGCATTCCTCTAGTTCTTTAATGCTCCCCCCACCACCACACACACACACACACACACACACACACTATCATGATCCCAGTTCTATCTTACAAATCTGGCTAGACCAGAGCATGTACACTGGTACAGAGAAGAGGTCTCAACACAAAGAATCCATGACGGATAAACCCCTCAGGGCCAATAATGAGAGTAGTGATACCATGAGGGTAAGGGGATAGTGGGGGAAGAAGGGGGAGAAAGGGGAAACTGATCACAGTGATCAACATCCCCTAGGGGGATGAACAACCGAAACATGGGTGAAGGGAGACGGTGGATGATGTAAAATATGAAAACAAAAATTATAAATCAAGGGCTCACAAGGGTAGGAGGGTAGGGGAGGGAGAGTGGGAAAGAGGAACTGATACCAAGGGCTAACGTAGAAAGAAAATGTTTTGGAAATGGTGGCAACATATGTACAGATGTGCTTGATACAATTGATGTATGGGTTGTTATAAGATCTGTAAGAGTCCCCACTAAAATGATTCATTAAAATTGAAAAAATAAAAAATGTGGCTTCTGAGGGGATTTTTTAAGCCAGTCGCTTCAAAGCAGAGATGTCAGCTAAGTAGATTGTGGTGACTATTTGGGAGCAGAAATGGGTATTTCAAAAGGGTAGTTTTAATAGATTTCCTCATAAGATACAGGACGATCCTGGAGGCTTATTATGTAGAAGTTTTAAGAAAATAAAAACTGCATTTGATGAGAAGACGGCCAGGAAAATTGCCCCAATGAATTTTATCTTCTCACAACAATGCAGTTCGTTGTTCTAGGGTAGCAAGGGTCGCTCTACACACGTTATTGGGAAACCTTCCCCCATTCACCCGAAAACCAAACTTATGGCATTGAGTCAATGTGGACGCACAGCGATCCTATAGACCAGAGGAGACCTGCCCTGGGAAAGCTCTGAGACTGTAACTGTTTACCGTAGAAAGCACCTCTTTCTCATTTGGAGTGGCAGGTGCTTCCAAACTACAAACGTGTCAATCACCGCACAGTGAGTGATGACTTCAACACCAGGGCTCCACCCATTCACCCTAGATCCTTTATATCGACACTGAAGGATTCTTTTTGTTCCCTACACACTTGTGTCTTCTGTTTGTTTCCCACACATTTGTGTTTCATAAAGGGTTCTATGATTTCATGACAGTGTTTATTTTTTTGCTATCCTTGTATAGAGGAAGGGACACTAGATTCCTCATCTAGGATCACTGAAGACTTAGATTCTCCCATTTGCTATGCTACTAACGAACTGAGGGACCTAGAACAAATAATGTGATTTCTCTGTGATACTCGTCCTTACCCAAATGTTATGTATGGTCTCTTGTAAGATTGTGTGAAAACAAGTGGACTTTCTCTGGCATTTTGTTTGGTATAGTTCAACGAGATATCTGAAACCGAAGAATTTGATTATTCTATTTTGCTTTTGGCATATCAAAAGTTACCAATGTAGATTATAGAGATTTTAAAAGTATGTAATAGGCGCATTCATGGAAACTTTAAGGATTTAAAAGCATGGCATGTACATGTGTCATCATACAAATAAATATAATTGATGTGCATGTTTTATAACATGCTAAAATGTATACATTTTTAAAATAGCTGTACTTATGGTGGGGGGAGATGTACTAAAGTTACTTGGTTGAGAGTGTGTTTCTATTTTAAGTGTGTTTATATTGTAGTTAAAATTGAAGAATTTTAAATCTTGAAGAGAATTTTGGGTATCATCTGTCCCAAATCCTTTATTATATAGAGGAGAAAACTGCGGAGAAGTGGGCTCCAAAACTCTTTCTATATTTATGCACAATGAATTTGATGAAAGCTAAGAATGTTCCTAATACCAAAGAAGAAACCATTGTATACTGTGGGCATGCTCTGGACCCGCATGAGGGCATCATTTGTTCTGTTGTTACACATGATTCCTTCAGATTCCCTCTGGAGATTGACAGGTGAGCCTGGAAGTCCAAGGGTTGAAATGAGAATCCCATATTTAAAAACCTTAGGGGACGATTTATATTGGCTCTACCAACCAAGGAAGAAAAATTTGGCTTAAAAGTTAAGAAAAATAAACATAGTGGAATATTTTTGTGCTCCATAAAGCAAAGTTTTCCTGACTTTCACAGCTCCCTATAAGCATTCTTCTTCAGAGGTAACATTCCTTTACATTAACCAGGTATTATGCCTGCTGCCAGACATAATTATAGAACTTGACCCAAAACGGCTCATCTGTGGAAAGGTAGGTCACCTCTCAATTAGGCATAAGGCCACTCCAGCATTCTAATATGTATGGGAAGGCTTTTCTAGCCCAATGATTATTTAACTGTCAGCATTTCCCTATGGAAAGTGTTCATAATCACAATTCTCAGATAATTCATTAAATGTCACAAATGTTATGATCTCTTTTATTGTTTGGACCAAATAAGACTTCTTTCAATCTAGAAATCAATTGATTAGACATGACAATCATATCCATAGGAAAACCTAAACAGAAAACATTTTCAAAATATAGTTAAAATATTACCTCGTAAAGAACATGAGCTGCCAATAAAGGACCTTGTAAAACTGATAATCTGTTATCTCAACTTTGCCCAGGTTAGTTGAGAAATCTGAAATTATTTTGTAAAATTAGGAATGTGTGTTCTCCATGGAAAAGAGACTCACGGCAGGAGCCGGGAGATGGTGCCAAGGTGTGTGCACCCACACTTTCTGAGTAAAAAGGGCAGCGCCAGGGGCACCGCATGTGGGGCATGCTGTCTCAAATATATAGCCTACGTAAAGTGGGTGTCACTGTGACGACCAAGGTGCACCTGACCCAAGCCGTGGTATTTTCGATTGTCTCCTGTGCTGGTGAGAGCTGCGCACTGAAACAGTGAAGAAGATTTCATGCACTTGATTGGTGGTGTTGGGCAAGAATACTGAAATCGCCATGGGCCTCCAGAAGAACAAGCAAACCTCTTGGAATCAGTACAGTCAGGATGCCCCTTGAAATAAAGATGGAAAAAGTTCACTTCACAACCTTTGGGCATGTTCTCTGTAGGGATGAGTTCCTGAAGAAGAACATCTTGCTGAGCAAACTAGAGGGTCAGCACCGAACATTTAGAAAGAGGAAGGTTTTCAGTGAGAAGGGTGGGCACAGAGGCTGCAACAGTGGGCTCAAACATATTGACAATTGGGAGGGTGGCGCGGGACCGGGCAGTGTTTCGTTCCATTGTGCATCGTGTCTCAATGAATCAGAACTGATTCAAAGTCACCTGACAATAACAACCTAAAGTGATAACCCCAAGATGTCTTTCCAAGATTAACACGGGCCTAATGCCCAAGGAAGTCGAGCTTTATCGGGATCACCCAGGAATTTCCCTGGCTAACACATGCTCACTCGTCCTGCCGTTCGAGGACAGAAAGACCACTCCCAACTGCGCCAGAGAAACGCTCTAGTAAAAGAGGCAACGAGGGTCCTCTCCGTCACGGGAGTCCTGAGGCTACAGTGAGGAAAAGGGCTTGGCTCTCATTTTGCCCCTTTTGCAGGTGCATTCACTTGTTCAAGCTCCCATCGGTTACATTGGAATTCTGGGGCTTTTTAGAGTATTTTGTGGTAGGTTAGGGCAATGTAAGTGGAGTGTAAGAGTTATTCCATTCTTCAAATGACTTAATTTACCTCTGCAAAGCGTTTTGCATCGCCTTATGGTACTATGACTCCTTAATAATGAAGAGTAAGATTCACATTTCAAGGTAGTCATTTATTTGACAAGCAAAAGCAGAAAGGAATGAAATCTACCTCCCAGGCAAATGACATAATAAACATAAAAGTTTATCAGAATGTCAGGGAAGAAAAATTATGTGAGACAACAGTTAATCCTGAGACTAAGGCGACAGGGTGTGAGATTCTAGTTAGATTCACAAGATGACAAAATGCTCATGATTAAACCTCTTAACTGCTCTGGGACTTAATTATTTGATCTGAAAATATAAACTGGATATTTTTTAAAGAATCCACAGTAATAAAATTTTATAATTCCTAGCACAATAAATTATACAAACAAAATATGATTGACTTAATAACCAATTATTCTCACAATTTCCATGGAAGGGCAAATGGAGAAGGTTAAATTATTTGCAAAACTAAAAAGAATATGGCTTAAGGCATATGACCAATGTCAGAGGTTTCAAAATTCGTTATTGCTATTCAATATGTGTAGTAAAGATGCTGATGGGAAGTAAATACAAAGCATTCATCCAAATTAACCTAAGGAAAATTGGAAGAAGATGCTGATCAGGAAGTTCAAACCAGCTTTTTTTTTTTTAGTAAGTAAAAGACTAAATATAATGGCTATAGGGTTCTTAAAAAAGCATCACTGAAGCAGGCAGATAACTGTTCTGCCACTTAATCCAGGGCCTATCAAAGGATATGCACTGCACTTCCATTCGCTTCCTCCTTTTGCAGTGGTAAATTCCCATTTCAGGAAATTGTGGTTTTAGCACCCAAAATGACTTGAAAATTAGAAGGCATTTACTTACCACAGACTCTACTCATTGCCAGAATCATATCATCATACACTGGAAGGCAGAAGGGAAATGGATCATTACGATATATAATTTTATCAGAAAGCAGCATTTTCATGTTTAATTAAATTGATACAGGAAATCTTGATGTTCATTTGAAAAATGAAACATTAAAATGGCAATATTTATCCATAAAAGGCTTATGCGTATAATAAATCCTTCTAACTTATTCACTTTTTAAACAAAGAACAAGAACATTTCACTCAACATAAATCCAACTATACATTTAATTGAAGCAGTTCATCACCGTTTCAATCATTTTAACTACATTAGTACGGGGATAAAGCTTGGCTTATGATGATGGACTAAAATGACATTTCATATAAACCCAAAGCAATATCATATATATTTCCAAAACACTGAACCAGCTTTGAATGCAACTAAAGTGCACATATATTTTCTTCCACTGTGTCACTGCTAAAGCAACAATGTGCATGATAGCTGAACATACAGATGAATTTGCCTTCATAACATATCCCATCCTGTTGGTAAATGGATTCCGTTTTATTAGAACAAAGAAGGTTTTCCTTTACCTTTGCCAGCTATCTCAAGGATAGAAACATCTTGACCTCGCTCATCTTTCAAGGATGCTTTGTATTCACCTTGGTCCTTCTTTGACAACTACAAATAAAACATATCCCACACCTGAGTAAAATCAATACTTCACTATAAAATATAATAAATGCTACTGCATTTCTTTGCAAACCACGGGAATTCGGGATGCAAATTGGAAGAAAATGCAAAATGTATGAGTTACATGAAAGACGTATGCTTTGTTTTGCTTAGATGTCTATACCTTTGGTATAAGCAGCTTGCAGACTCCTTTTTCGAGGTCAGGCAATGTTTCAGTTTCATAAAGAACATCATCCTTTAGCCATTTGAAAACTGTTTCCTTCTTAGTGTTTGCAACCTGCATTACAAAAATCATACGTGTAGAATGTTACTCCCTCTTACTCATTAAAAAAAAAAATCTAGTATTAGGATTTTACATCACAGGCCTAAAACTTAAAAAAAAAAATACCACTTTCAAGTTTTATTCCAGACATAGCTTCAGACAGAGACTCATAGAAAAGCTGTTGCTCTTAAAAGCAAATATATTTCTAAATCCCAGTCTCTAAAATAATTAAACCCTTGAAGTTGCACATCAAAGAACAAATGATTCCTCATCACTCTAGCTGATGAAATTAGGTAGTGTAAGATCAGTTGGTTTATATGCAATGGGAATAGTAAAAGCAAGTTACAAGCAATATGCTTTGCTATTTATAAATAATATAGAATATTCTCAGAGGCCTATAAAACCGATGAATGACTGCTTCTGGCCACATAACCATTCTAAGTGTGTCTACGTAAGGAATCTGAAATGCTAAGCAAAAAGCCGGATGTAGGGGAAATCTTTCCTTCTACTCAATATTCTCACAGTTGAGTTCCTAGCATTAGCTAAGCAGATTACTTACTTCATCCTAAAATTTCAAAATTTTCTTCAGAATTTGGCATCAATCTAATTTCTTACTGTCACTTATCGCAACTCAAATATTTTAAATTGTTGGCATTCTTCTTCTAAATAAAATTATTTTCTCATTACTTCTGAACTCTGTTCTCAATGATAAATATCCTCAATTCATTGATTTGTCCTGGAGTCAAGATTGGCTGGATGACAATGGATGTGGTTTAGAGTGTAGAGGTGGGGTTTTTTATGTCCCTAGCGAACTCATTTGTCTCTTTTCTGAAGCCTTTTCAACTTTCAGCTTTTCTCTGCCACTCTAAGCTGTGGGCAACTCTAGATGCACATCCATGTGTAGCACAGACAAGACTGTTCTTCGCTAGCACTCCCTTCTCCTAATTCACACTACCTGCAGCAGGTGCTCTCTCACTCTCCACGGTACTCCACGAGAACGTCCCAATAGTTTCCTTTTATTTATGACTGAGGGTTCTCTTATCTTAAATATTAGTCGTGAGAAAATGGTTTTCTATAAAGTTATAATATGAATGTGCTTTTCTATAAAGTTATAATATGCTATATCCTTGCGAAATTTTTACTCCCAAGTGTTTTATGTAAGTAGAACAAAAATAGCTGTCAGTTAAATATTATTAGACACAAAACTAGGGAAATGTTTTATAGAAGCCCAGGATTGACAGGGACTGTATATGCAAATTAAGTGCATGAAATTGCAAAATGCCAAATCTCTGGTAATATTTATTTTCTTTCTCCAATAGCAGTGTTTAAAGATTTATGGATGACTTCAGTGAGGGAACGTAAAATCTGTTTAAATATTTATAGAAGGTTATATACCATTAAAATGTTATCAAAGCATATTTCAAATCAGTCCCTGCCAGCGTTGTGAGTAGACATATACTCGTATGTAATATCCCAGAGTCAGAAGAATAATAAACCACACTCTCCTGGTTCTAGCATCTAACATAAACAGCACCTGGAGCATTTCCCTAAGTTGTTGAAGAGCTGATTTCTTCTTTAAGAGCTGCTACTACGGACCCCTGCTGGCATTGTCTGGTAAGGTTGGACTGCTATTGGCCTCCTAACTGAAAAGTCAAAACCGTTCCAAGGAAACAGGAGGATATGCATTCCGGTCAGGCTTTACAGCCTCTGAAACCCTACTGAGGCTCACTGGTAGTCAGAATTGGCTTAATCACAGTGGGTTAGACTTGGGTATTCAAGATTTGAAGATCTGCATCTTTTTTTATATGATGATCATTTTGGAAAACTCCTAAACAGCTGATCCGTAGTAGTTTTATGAGGTTCCTCCTCCCTTTAAATGCCTATTATTTTTCATTTGTGGAGACCACCCTTCTAAGACCTATCTCCCTTGCAATTTATATGCAAATATTAGCTATTTTCTTTTATAAATGCTTTTGTCTCTGAGGCGACCTTTAAGACACTAGTTCAAATAACTGCTCATAAAAGTCTATGTACTTTCCTTAAAACATTTACAAGAATAACATGGAACATGTTAAGTATCAAACTGTAGTCATTAAAAAAATATGTGCAAATCGAAAATTTAATCATAAATTAATGACCAACCCTAGCAATAACTTGAAGAATAGTTAGGTCAATCTAATCACGTAAAGCTTGAGGAATAACCTAGAAATCAACAAGGTGTATTTGGAACCCTTACCCCACTGTCATGGAGTCATGCTCAATTTATTGTGACCCAAAATATCTCTGATGGTGATCTTGGCAGAAGCTCACAGCCTCATCCATCTACTGCAAAGCAGTGAGAAGATTTGAACAGCCTACCTTTCAGTTAGCAACCCAGTATTTATCCTACAGCACTGCCAGGGCTCCACATCCATCAGTCTGCCAGATTTAAGTCATAATCCTCTGTCCTCTTATCCAGCCTCCGCACAGACTCCAGACCTTTCTCCTCTGCCATCTCCAGTCTTCTGCACCTTGAGTACAGTCTCTCATGCCAGCGCAGAGAGTTGCCGACCTCAAAACTCTGCACGTCAATGCCCCCCTCAGAGACAAGGGGTGCTATTTTCTCCTTTCTGCTTTCTTTGGCTCTTGTGCGTGTGCTTTTAGCCTAAGGATCCTGCATAGTGAATCCTTGTTTCCTCTTGATTTATCTCTTTCTCACTCATTTAGTTTCTTTTTTTCAATTGATCATAGCTGATCACGTTAACCACAATTAGACTATATTCAAAGTACCTAGTAAAACTATAAAACTCTTCATTCTACCAATCCCCCATCAAATCACCAAGTCTGAATCTTTCTCCATATTAACTAAGTATATCTAGAAAAATCTATGCAAGTGCACAGATTTATAGCACTATAAATGGCTTCCCATATGATTACTCATTAGATCTATTCAACAATTGTTTTAACACTTACTTGTGAACTCCCTCTCATATCTCCTTAGTGACTGAGTACAGTCCTCTCTTATTACCTATATGCAGCTCGTGGACCTCATTCTTCACACCCCTAACTTTTTGCTGTAAAGAGAACAATTTGTCTTTGCCACTTGGTTTGCACTGTGCTGACTCACTTCCATCAGTCCCCTTAGTGCTTCAAGGAGTTGCCTCTACTAGAACACACCGTCCCCTCCAAAGAGTCTCTACATCTCTACATTTTCTCCTTTATGACACTGCTCCATCATAGATCTCTTCTTTCTCCTTTGTCTTCATCTGGTCTTGTTTATTCTCTCTTAGCCTTTAAACAGGATTGAGTTTCTAAACAAGAGAGAAAAACTTCCTTGTCTCCTCTCTCTTTTCATTTCTATCCAGCACCCACCTCCTCATTTATCTTTTATTTCATCAGCAATTTAGACTCTATCGCTACTTTGCCTCTAAATGGTGAGGGAAATAGTCTTACAAATCTGATGGTGATATTGTAACCTTTCTCTTATTAAACCTTTCTGTGATATCGGACTCCTTGAAATTCTGTCTCCAGATTTGTTATCAGGCCACTTCTTTTTGTTTCTCTTCTCTTTCTCCTTAATGAGCCTCAAGCACTCTCCTGTGAGACTGATAACCTGATGTTTTCAAGAATTCCCCGTTCCTCTTCTGCCTATGAAGCCTGTCTTTTGACACCTTATCCACCTACCTGATTTTTTACCGCAGAGGCATGATGACTCATAAATCTATAATTTTCATTGAGTGCCAAGTGTATAACACCAATTTCAAGCTGGTTATCTTCTATGAGCTTAACAAACTGAAAACTTGAAAAGCTGAATTTATGCTCAAAATCCTAAAAGTCTTATAATGCTGATTCCAATTAGCAGTATACCCTCCTACTCAGTGATATAAAATCATTTGCCAAATGCTCACAGTTTTTGCTGCACGTGTGTTCTTAATCATTTTATTGTGTCTTAGGTGAAAGCGCACCTAGAAAGTTAGTTCTCCCATCAGTAATTCATACAAAAATTGTTCTGTGGCACTGGGTGTGATCAGTGTGTCCGCACTCTCTCATTTCCTTCTTGAGTTAGTCATTTTCATTCATCCAGTTTCCTTGCCAGTTGCTGCCTCCCATTTGTAGTCTGGGGCATAAGTCTCCCTTTTGGTCTTGTATAGCTGCTGGTTCTAAGGAGCAGATTCTTCGGGGGTGTTATTGTTTATTTTCTTAGCACAATCTTTTGTTTGGCTGAGAAGTGGCCTTGAAACTCAGAATTGTCTTGAGTTTCAAGTTAGAATGCAATTTCTGGGATATATTCTCAGGGGTTCCCTTAGTCTCTTCCATACATACATCTGGATTTTTTAAAAAAGTTTTATAAAGATACCATTCAAATACCATAAAATTCACTCTTGTAAAGCACAGAATTCCGTGGTTTTCAGGACAACCATAGACTTGGGTGTTCTCCCAAGTATCTAATCCCAAAGCGTTCTCCCCACTTCCAACATTCTCACCACTGGGCCACCGTAGTTTTTCTTTCCAGGCTTAATGCTTGAATTTTTTAAATAATAAAAGATATAATGTTATACTGTTGTTATATCATTACGCATTATACCCCAAGAAAATGGGATTTTTAAATTTGAATTTTGTTCTATATTTTACTCATTCTAATTGGGACTTTCTAAGCTGGTCCTGATCAATATGGAAGATCTTGGTAGCCAGGCACCAACGTTTTTCTGGTCCCAACTTTGAGGGAGCAGGCCATTGTTGTTAGTTGCCGTGGAGTGCGCTCTGACTCAGCGACCTTAAGCACAGCAGAAGGGCCCTGTCTGGTCCTGCACCATCCTCACAATTGTTCCTGTGCTTGCGCCCACTATGCCAAGACAGCTTGTCCGGGGTCTTCGTATTTTTCATTGCCCTTCTACTGTTCCAAGCATGACGCCCTTCTTCACAGGTTTATTTCTCCTGATAACATGTCCAAAGTATGTGAGACGAAGTCACACCATCCTTGCCTCTTGGGAGTATTCTGGCTGTACTTCTTCCCAGACAGATTTGTTTGGTTTTTTTGGCAGTCCGTGGTACTTTTAATACTCTTCTCCAGCTGGCAATTCAAATTTATTGATTCTTTTGTCTTTCTTATTCAATTTCCTAGTGAAAGAATGCTAGCATGAAAATAGATGAGTGTCATCACTGCATGGTGACTCAAAAATTCATTTTCTAAAATTTTAATATTTTCATAAAATACCTACATGAATCTTCTTTTGTATCCCAAACACCTTAACTTTTTCATTAGGGAATAAGATAAACAAAGTCTAAGTACTAAAAAAATACCAGACTCAGAAGCTGTTTATTCTATTCATGTCTAATTCAAATTTCATTTGTATACTTTATCATAAAAATATGATTTGAACATGTGTACTTTTGTGAAAAATCCCATTCATATTTACAAGGCTGATATTATTAGTGTATTTCTTAAACTGATTTCTCACCTTACACAAAAGTCGAACTTCACATTCTTCTGTAACATCCCAGTGCAGATATTCAGCAAAATGAGGACCTATGTAGCAAGCGAGGGGAGAGAGTAAAAATACAACAACAACAAAATGTTCTTTTAAATAAGTTTAATTTTCAAAACACAGATATCTGAAAGTACTTTTGGAAGGAGAGTATACTTGTCAGTATAGTTGTGTACTATAAAAGTTCGTGCCTCTGAAGTCTACACGTGTGAACTAATTGTTTAGTGTACTCTGCCATTGTTACTGTACTCTGCATTTCCTAGTAGAAACATATTGGCTAATATCTGCTTCTTATGTATCTCTAATATCTGTTCCCTTTCAAGAGAAGATTACTGAAACCATGACATTTTCTTTCTCAAAGCATATGTTTAGCTGAGTATGCAGCAACATGGGCTGTTTAACTGAAAATGCAGCAGTATTGGATATGAAACCTTAAATGAGAAAAATTAATAGAGATGAGATGAGCAGTTTAATCTAGCAATTTCCTAAACACACCATCTCTTATTTACACAGAATTCAAAATCAAAGGCAATTTTATATTTCTTTCTTAAAATAAGTATATAAGCAACAACTAATCACCCTCATTCTACATAAATGTACACAGCAGACTTAAAAGTAATTAATGTTTCTCCGATAATACAGTCTGCAAAGTGGCTAAATTTTACCATGTAAAAATAAATTATTCTTGTCCATTAAAATAAACCAATAAGAAATAATGGATGTCTTGATTTTATATTTTACAAATAAAATAAAATCCCATGAATAAAAAATTATTTAAATAAACCTTGGATTATGTTTTGGTGTCTGAAATTTATCTATTTCCTTTTATATCTACTTCATATGCAATTTTAAAAGTAATATATTTGAAACCACTTCTTTCTAAAGACATTAAGTAAACAAGTTCTTGGCAATTGAAATAATTTCTACTATCCTCTCAAAGTCTAATAAAAATCCCAACCAACCCACCCCCATTCTTTTAAATTTATTCTTTATTCTCCCAAGTTGCTAAAATCCATCCAGACATTTAAGATGGAAGGACCCTGTGCTTATTACTGACCCATGGTAAAGTTTCTTTAATATATTTTGGTATCTGCAATATGTTCATCACTGTAAAAAGTGTTATGGGTGTTAGAATATATATACAAGAAGTCTATATTTTGAACTCCTGAGGAGTTCAAAGTAATATGAAACTCCAAAATAAGTGTCTCTGACCAGGCATGCTGCAGGATGTCAGAAAAATGCAGTCAGCAGGGGTACATGCAGCCAGGGAAGACTGTGGGGAGAAGGGAAGAACCATATTGGAGTTTGGATGGTGACACAGTTTGAAAGGGTGGTCACTAGAGGGCTTTTCCAGGATGACAATAGTCCAGAAAGACAGAAATGCACATGATGAAAAGGAGAACGTTAAAGAATTCCATCTGATTCATCCAGAAACTTGTTTTAGAGCCTGGTAGGAAATACAATGTGATGAAGCAGAATAGACTTAGATTGTGGAGAGGTTTGGAAGTCAGAATGCATTTTCTAAATTTCCCTAGTAGGCCATACAAAGTGAGTAATGTTTTTTAAACAATGAAGTATCTAAAAGGACTAAGTGCTTAAGAGTTAGTTATCACATCAGCCACTATTTCTTTGACTGAGATAATAACAGGAGTCTTGATGGTGTAGTGGTTATGCATTGGGCTGCAGTCCTCATGGTCGGCAGTTCAATACCACCAGCAGCTCCACAAGAGAAAGACTGGACTCCCTGCTCAGTCCAATAGTAACAGTCTTGGAACCCCACAGGCGGTCGCCATGAGTCGGCATTGACTCAATGGCAGCGAGATGATAGTAACATGAAACATGAAAAGTAAACAACAGATTCTAAGACTTTCAAAGGTAGAAACAAGAAAAAATGGTCTTGCAATATAAAGGACAAAGTAGAAAGAAGTATACAAGTTTCTACAGCTAAGAGATAGTTATGCACTGACTGTTTTAAATAACATTCAGAACATTGACATTCTATAGGATCTGCTTTAGACAAATTTCAAAGCAAAAGTCAGTTTTAGGCTACTAGTGAAGGAGTAAGTCAACGACCTACCTTGTTTCCTGAGATATTCTCTCCTCTGAAATTCAGCCTCCTCTAGGACTGCCTTGAAGGCTAAATTCAATATTTAAAGAAAAACAATATAAAGTCTGTTTGGTTCTGTCTAGTCAAAAGAATTTTTTGAATCATCTTTTATGAGCATGAAAATATTCAATATAGCATACCATCTCCAATAAGAACCAGAGAAGATTGATTTTTGGCCTTTCCATCATGAATCTGCACAGTGTAGGTACCTTCATTTTCAATAGTAAATCGATCCATTACCATCTCAATTATTCCTGTCAATTTATCACATTTAATCCTATGTGTCTGGGAGCAAGAAGGGAAATACAGAATTACACAGGGAAATTATTGCTTCGAGCGCTGTCTCTCAGCATTTAATACTGACCAACTACAGTGGCATAGGAATCGTGGCACAAAAACATAGCATGAAAGTTTATCAACGAATCCTCTTGGTCACAAAGAGGAAATCAGAAGTACAAATTTTCATTCACAGTGGTCGAGTCTAATTTCTGTGTAGGAGCTACCATAAACCTAACAAGCTCGAGGCATGTTCTCAACAGAAATACCACGTTCCCTCAAGAACTTGTACATAGTTGAACACATTAAAAGAGGAATAATGTAGTTGACGTAGCTGATGCCCTACCAAGCCTGATTACAAAACCCTGTGCACAACAAAAATTAAATTATCTCGGTGACCATCGTCACCTCCAGCTCTTGGAGACCCTGACACGCACCGCATTCCAGCTGCAGCTCCTCTTTCGGCAGCAGAGGAGAGCGCTGAGGCAAGCCCAGAGAGCTCTTGTGATTGGCACTCTACCAGATTGGAGAATACCATATGGCCTGGTCGACAAAAGGTCTGTTTTGCCTGCTTAGTTTGTTCTTTATAGCCTCCCCTCCTCAATCCCAATGCCTCCCATTCCTCTGAGCATACCATGCTTCCTTTCATTTCCTGACCTTAACACAGTTCCCCATAACTGGGAACAGTTTCTCCTTCCTTTTACTATTGTTGTTTTACATGAAAAGTGGCCCATATTCCCTCAAGAGTAATTCCAGGAAGACTCTGTTGGTGCCCTGAGAATTCGGCAATGTGCTCTCCCTGTGCTTGCCCATGAACCCCTGCCTTCCTTTCGGAAGAATTCAGCACACTGGATCTTCTAACTAGCTTGCCTGGTATCTGAAAGCAAGGACTGTGCCTTCCCTTTCTTTGCAGCTTCTGTAAGTGCCTGGCAGGTAACAAATGGGAAATAAATGCTGTCGGCTTATTCATGAGAAGGTGCTGGGAGAGTTCCCTCACTTTGCCTTCTACATCAGTCAGCCGACACGACTGAGTAATGCTGAACAGTGTTTTCTTCGGGGAGATTCTGATTCCTTACATGTTACTGTCCGTGTTCTTCCCCAGCGTTGTTATTTTCTAGTGCATACTGCACTGACCTTCATACACTGGGCAGACGGATTCTCCTGTGTTCCACAACTGAACCATGGAGAACACCGAGGTAGAGGGGACTTGACCACTGACCTCAGGATCTTACATCCAACTAGAAGCAGAAGGGCGCAAGTATTTCTAAGGCAGAAAACGGCTCGAGAGCTACAGCACTTCCTTCAGCTCCAGAAGCTGGGACACCTTGGCAAGTCTGAGCTGTTCCTTTGCAGATCAAGCCTTGGGGGCAATTAGGAAGTTGTCCTTCCTCTCTGCTTTGGAGCCCGCCTCTGTCCACCTCCACGCCAGGCCCTTCCACGAATGCCACCATGGTGGAGTAGGCCCGGGCCCTGGGGTTCTCCTTGCTATTGGAAAGCTTTCCCGGTGCCACTCAGCTCATTTAGAACTTACCTTTCATTCAAGAATCTACGTTCTAATTTTTAAATGACCTAACAGATGCTGATATGTTTTATGGTTGCTAATGGATCATGTTTAATTCTACCCTTGGATAATGTAATCTCTGAAATGAGACTGGGGCTTGAAGATATCACATCGAAATGAATGACTCACCTTAAATACTATGGTACTGCAGGAAGGTCACATGTAGGACATCATGACTCTGAGTTATCTTCAGGCATACTACTCAGGAAATCACAATAGGACTGATTCCCTTGGCCTTGACTTCGCCAAGCCCAGATTTAGCAATAGGATAGTGACATTTGCTATTGAACTTTCCTGCAGGTATTCATTGGAGCTTTCAGACCGAGTCCAGTTGGAATTTAAACTACTTCCAACCTGAATACTGATCTTACAAATGAAAGTAGGACTCGAAGCCATTATAGAAAGATGAGCCATGAACAGAATAGAAAATACAATGTGATAAAACAAAGCAGTATTACCATAAGGAAACGTCATCAAACTCCTTTGAATCTGTGCTCCTTCTACAACCCTCACCTTAAAAGGTTCAATTAAAATATTAAAAATAGTTTCTATCTGTAGGTAACTAATCCAGCCAAGTTCACTCATAAAAAAGTTATATTTTTCCAATATACAGTGTACATTTATTATCAAAATACTCTTTCTTCTCTCTTTAAAGGTTTATTTATACTTGATCATCTAAATGCCAGGATAGCAAGGGAGAGTTTAAAGTACCAATATCAAAAGTACCAGTACCAAAATACCAACTTTGTTCAGAGTTTCTCTCAAAGCTGACTTCATTCTGCATCATTGTTAACGTCTCCTGCCTGGAATTCAAAGCAGGAAAATAATTTCTCTCCACTTAGCCTATCCTCTTTACTTCCCTGGATAGATTACATTTCCAGCTCGGTCGTTCAAAACCACCAGCGGGTCCATAGGAGAGACAGGAAACTGTCTGTTCCCGTAAAGATTTATAGGAGATCGTTGGCAGGAGCCTCGGGTTGCTCGAGTTGAAGTCAGGGTGGTTTTCGTGGGAGGTGTACACAACACGGAATACTTCATGCTCTTTGTCTCCCCAAATTCTACTTGCGGAGTCCCCACTCTTTGAATTCTCCCTTAAGCTTCAGCTCTCCAAATCATGGCTTTTCCGGTATTGTGAACATCTTTGCAGTCCTGTTTGAACATATCCTCAATATGTATTTTCCTATCTTATTCTATCTTTGAATTTGTGTTTCTTCAACTCTAGGATAGGGTCCATTAGGACCAGGTGATTGTCTTACATTTATGTCCCTGCTGGTTTGTTGGCTGCGTTGCAATCAGTAAATGATTTATACAATATATAATGCCATCTGTTGGTGTAAGAAAGTGAGTCCCCAAGAGCGTCAAAGGTTAGCAATGGCTCTTCATAATCTGCTTCATCAAATAGGAATTTCAGTGAAAAGTACACACACAATCTTTCTAGATTTTAATTCCCAGTCTAGCAAACAAAAAAATTACTTTTACGATTAGAAATTCCAATCTTATTTGAAATGTAAATAATAGTACTTGAAGATAGTTTCTTAATGGAAAACTGGAGCAGAAAATTGGTATAACTAAAATTATAGAGTGAGATAGAAATGAATAGGAAAGTATGATCTCAGATTATTTTTTTTTAGAGAGATCATTTCAAAAATAATATCAATTCCTGTAAGCACACTAGAGACACATTGGCTCCACCCATGGAGACCAAAATAGTTCTTAGAGGCAATATAAACAGAAATTGGAATATAATAGCTGTAATGAATGTGCCTTCTCCTTAGTCTTTGAATTTCTTTCTACTTTTGAGTGTTTACTTCTGACTATAGAGAGCAAAATGCAAATTGATAAGAAAAATAGGCTACTCCTATTTGTAATATATGACGCTACACTCACGTCAAACATCTATATGTACAGAACGATAGGAGCTTACTATAATTACATATGCAAAGTGAAAAGGTATGACACTCACCAACCACATTCTTAATGCAATAGCCTTTTTGATATTCTCAACTACTGCACTGCAGTGTCTGGGCAGGTTTTAGAAAATAATTAGGCTTCTTGCTATTGCCATTATGCAGCAAGATGAAGTTCAATGATTTTATGAGTGCCATAAATACAGGTTTTTATGTGACTTTCACAAAATAGCATCCATCTTCCAATGTAAAAGTCACCTGTGGATGACTAATTAAAGAAGTGAAGTAGTATAGGCACAGTCCAGCAGATTAGCCAAGGAGCAATGACATCAGTTAATGGGAAAAACAAGCTTTATATAGCAAGTAGGAAATGTTTGTCAGAAGATGCCTAAAATAAATTGCAATTATACTAAATCCCATCACATTTTATGGTCTCATCTCTTCCCAAAGAAAGTGTCTCCAATTGTCTTGATCCTGCAATGTGCTCCCACAGACAATATTTGCACTTTCAGGCAGAAAAAAATTACATGCTTTTTGCTTATCAACTAACATTCCCATTTGTACCATCCTTAATAAAGTGTCCTTATTTCCATAAAAAATAATAACTAAATAAGTAAAAGCACATGATCTTTGCACAGGCAAGATTTTTGCTTGATAAACATTCATTTAAGCACTGAGCTTTACTAACTGCCCATCAGATGCAAAGCACTTGACTAGGAACAAAGGGAATTGCTGTGAGAAATTACGTATGGTCATCTCTGAAGGCAGGAGCGATTTCTACACTTCAAGCAATTGGGTAATGAACACAGTAGTGAGACACTTAGGACTTAGAAGGATAGGCTAATATATCGATTACATACACTTTGTCTATTATAGGCAAAGAAGGCTCAGCGGGGAAAAGATGGTAGAATTTTAGAGCATTCAACTCCAGTACTTCACAATAAAGGAAAGATCAATCAAACAGACAGTCCTCAGGTATGCTATCATTAGATAAGAAGACACATATGAAAATAATCAGTGTCTTCTCATATGTTACAAAGTCAAAATACTGATAATTGTTAAGATTTTGTTTACACAATTAAGACACAAGAAGGCCAAAAGTGTTTTCATTATAGCATAAAATATTTCTAACAATTCTGCTTCTGTTACTTCTGTGTCTTCCACAAAAAGGCGTTTATGCGACGATCAGCATATAATCCCCGCTCCCCCCCTGGGGACGAACAACAGCAACGTGGGCGAAGGGAGACAGCAGTTGTTGTAAGATATGAAAACAATAAATGATGTTTAATTCATCTAGGGGTCATGAGGTTGGGAAGTGGGGAGGGAGGGGGAAATGGGGAGCTGATACCAAGGGTTCAAACACAAAGTAAATGTTAGAAAATGATGATGGCAACAAATGTACAAACATGCTTGATACAATTGATGTATGGAATGCTGTAAGAGCCCCCCATAAAATGATTTTTTAAGGCGTTTATGGCAGACTGCAGCTCACAGCAGAGCATCTATACCCCAAACCATTATCAAAAAATAAACAGTTTCATAAAGTATATCTTCCCCATGTAAACCTCAGTCTTCTCATAAAACCAAGCTCAGCATCACAAAAGCATAGTTTGGCCCCGTTTCTTTTCCTTTTTTTTTTTTTTTTAATTCCTTTTTTTAATTCAGAGAGGCTTGGATTTTAAAGACCCTGATCTCTTATCTAGCTCAGACCAAATCTCTGAACATTTCAGGAATCAAGCATCTCTCATTCGTCTTGTCACCCTTCGATACCCCAGTTTCTACAGCTGCAAAAAGGATGAAAACAAACACAGCACTTTGACTTTTAAGTAACTGACCTACCAGACGAAAGCTTGGCTCTATCCAAAGCCAGAGATCACTCCCACATGAACTCACCTCACCGTCGGAGACTTCTCGGTCATTAATAATAAATCTGTAGCTGGCATCTGGTGATAAGTGCTCAGCCTGGAGCCAGAAACGAACCTGGCCCTTATCAAAAAGCTCATAAGCTAATTCTGATTTCAGAGGAATTGCTACAGGAAGAAAAGAAATCACAAGTCAATAATGCATGAATCCTTGTGAGAAAGAATAGCTGGAGATGGTAGGAAAATATCAATTCTAGTTATTAAATTGTGAGATCGTGAAACCCTGGAGTGTTGAAATGGATTATAAAAAATAAAAATAGAACTCTAGTTAGCTGTTGTTGCACTTAAGTGTCATGCAGCGTGTGTGCTGCGGGTCCGGGGACAAGCCAGCTTTTTCTATGTGCTCATTGACTGCAGCCGTGTACATTCTGTTTTATTCAGTTTTATTCAGTGACTGAAGATTAATTTGATAGACATCTCGGTTGAATTAGGAACAGCTATCCTAAACAAGAATTCAAAATACTCGCTAAGCAATAAAACCTTCTATGAGCTGTAGTATATGCTAATATTTAAATCAATAGGTTACCACCTGTAAGCCCTGAACATAAAATGAGCCCATCGTTTTTCCACCATCCTCCCTTCAAGAGCTCTGTAGGTTAATGTGCACGGTCCTAGCTGCTTTGCTGTTGTACGTGCAGGGTCGTGGCTTACTTACTGGGATTTTTTATTTCGTTGCTCAATGCCATCAAACGTTCAAGCTCTGAAATTTAAAAAATAGAATTTAACGTAGTTGATTTTCATCAATCCCTTCAGAAATTTGTAAACAACAGCAGAGATGACATAACACCAAATATTTCACATCTCCACACTCTAGTTAGAGGATGTAAAAGAAGTTTTAACTATAAGAGCAAAGGATGTATAGGATAACAACAAACTTTGAATAGTCTAATAAGCTACCAGTTTTCTGCAATTAAAATCTTCAACTCTTGGCTAACATACTTCCTATAAAAGAGGTTAGGATAACTTCAGGTAAGAGTCCCCTTGGATGTGGGAAGTAGTGTGGAAAAACTTTACAGAGAAGAAATTTAAAGGGATTCATTTTCACATCTTCAAATTCCCTTTGAAGTCTTTGCTAAAATTGATCTACCCAATATTTTGCTTATGTTTCCCTGACTTTCAAAATTTTTTCCTTCATTCCTAAAGAAAAAAGTGTGTGTGTGTGTGTGTGTGTGTGTGTGTGTGTGTGTGTGTGTGATCGAGCCATTCAGAATCTCACCATGGTACATCACAGTAGGTGCACAAAAAACAAAGAAGAGGTGATGTTCCTGAGTCCCACGAGCAATTGAAGAAAACTTATAAACTAATAAGCAAGCCATTTCCTGTGTCTTTCCTTTTGTCCATCTCTCTCCCTGTCTTCCCTTCTCCCTTTCTCTTTGGCTTTAACTTCTTCCTTCTTTCTTAAAATTAGAGTTCATGTGATTGCATGTGAACATGTTTATTTGAAGTGAGAAAGGAAGGCAGACTTTTCCCGACAGGAAGAAAACTCCATTTGGTTGATTGGTTTGACAGCAAAGACTGACTTTCTCAATTAGATTTCATGGTGGACACTTCTGTAACACGAATGAGTTAATTTGCAGCACCAAGGTTTCACCTAAAATACATTTAAAACCTAGATAGCGTATAAAATATACTGGGAATTTCTGCCTTTAGAAACATTTAAAATTAAAATGAAATAGTCATGCCAGCTTAAAGCTATGCTAAGAAGTATATAACTTTTTAAAATTCTTTATAGCATTATTTTTACTAAAGAATGGTCTAGTGATTATAGAATCAGTATCAGGGGAGGAAACCACTTAAAGAAGCCTTCTGGTGGATTCTAGTTCCATTTCTGTCCTTTGTCTGTGAACAGCAAACTGAGAACTCCAGAAAGCTTACTGTGTGGGTTCTCTCGCTCTTCTCTCTCTCTCTCTCTCTCTCTCTCTCTCTCTCTCTCTCTCTCCTTTCTTTTCCAGTGGAGGGCAGGGGGTGGGGAGGTAGCCGAAGAGGATAGGAGGGAGGTGGTTCTTCTGTTGTTCTCTGGGTCCTGTAAATTTTGCATGTGCACACCCAGTTTAACTGACATCCGAGCCAGGCCTGCACTGGTAAAAGCAGCAGTCTATGGACACCTCCCATGTTGGCTACTCCCGGCATTTTCTCTCTACCTCCCTCTAGACTCTGTGTCAAGGTTCCTCGTCGTCACACCCACAGCACATTGCCAATCAGGATACTGATTAATAACTAAAGAATTTGCTTATAACGCTTAACACATCCCACAGACTTTAGCATTTTAATAGTGGACATTCAACCCCTTATCACAAGGGTGGGGTTGGGGGTGCCTTAAAGACCCAAAGAAGCTCGGGTCTGAGGATCCTGTGCAGAACCCATGCAGTCCATTTCACATTCCTGACTGTTTAGTGAAAGAACTCGTAAGGCTGACTCCGACCTGTAGCTAAGTAATGGACGGCCATCCTGGGCAGTAAAAAGGATCAATTCCATGCAGTATTATCATTTGCTTTTTGCACTGAGATCAGTAAATTTATCTGACAGAAGCTTGCTTTTACCTAGTCATGCTAAAGAAAGTTTTAGTCTAAGTTCTACCTGCTGCTTTCTTTGTAAAGGGATCTTGACTAAGTAAAATTTTAAAAATTTCACGCTAAAATAATGTTCTATTAGGATTACTTCAGTGTTAGAAAGCAGTGGCAGGCATTTCCCATCTGTTTATTTCTCATTAAATATTATTGGTTTATTTATTGTTACACTACTTTCTTGCCATAGGATTGAAACGTGACAAAAATCATCTTAAAAAATACAAGTCTAAGGCTATATAAGCAATATGTCCTGGATCAATGTTTTACTTGGCCAAATGAGTATAAACTATAGAGTGTGTTTAATTTTTAAAGTAAATTTAAGCTTAGTAATTATAAATACTCCCTATTCCAAGCTTGCCACAAAACACACCCTTTTCCCAAACAAAATGTCTTTCCTATTATATACAATTAAACCTCTGAAAGCCAGAATCTATGTGAGGTGAAAACCTCTCAGAGAAAGAAAATGCAAATATTTGACAGCAACCGCGTGTTAGGAAGCGGTAAGATTGCAGCCTGTCAATAGTAGAAAACTTGCCCGACTCAGAGAAACAATGTGGTCCCGTCAAGTCCCCGCCCTTACAGGTTTCATGATGTTAGTATTAATCTTTCAGAGTGTTATAAAACCCGACAACTCAAGCATAAGCCATATAGATATTACCTTCTTCATCCAAAACAAAACTGGAAGACACACCATCTGTATCACTTACAGACACAGAATAAGTCCCTATGTCCACTTTCTCTGGGTTCTTAAAGTACAGTTTTGAACTAAAAAGGAAGGAGAATAGACAAAAGTTCATTGTTTGTGTTTCAATGACTTTCTAAAAGTTTACCATTGCCAACTTCTTTGTAAGACTTACTTATCTCCCACAGTGTCAATATTAAACTTCTCAGCATCTGCAATCTCCTCATAAGATTTACACCAGGTAAAGTGAGATGCATCTGTCATTTCTTGGCAGTCAAAACTTAGGTAGATATTGCCTCCTTCATCCACGCCAGCTCTGATTTCCTTGGTGCCTACATAGCAAAAAATATAATTTGAACATCTTAGGAACACCCTGTTCTTTGAATTCTTTTTTTTTTTTTTCTTTTTTGAAATGGAATGGAACAAATTTAAGCTTGTTTTCCACTCTCCAACAAGGAGTGATCCTCAGAATAATGAAGGAGCAAAATACTTCAGGAACTAGGTTACTATTAAAGTAGGTTGTTTGGGTTTGGGGTTTGTTGGGTTTTTTGTTTTGTTTCCCCTTGTTTGTAGCTGTTGATTTAAGGCATGGTATTGTTCTCTATTTCTGCTTCTGTTTCCTAGGCTACATTTGGCCTATCCAGGCCATAAAGATTTCTCCTCTTTCAGAGAACTGCTTCCATCCATACTGTCTTCGAGGTGGGCCCCAGACTTACGTGCATGCCACTTGATTCCATCCACACTCAGCCTTCTTGTATGCTACATTTGGGGGAGGATTAGAGGGCTGTTTGTTCACTTGGCAGGTTGTGATCAAGGTGGATACCTGGCCTAATAGAGCCCCGTCAGTGTCTAACTTACAGAAACTAGAAAATGAATGAGTTGTATCTATGCCTCTGCCAGCAAATCGAACGGAGGCCATTAAAAAAAAAAAAAGTTTTACCAAAGATTCTGTAGAAGAATACTGATCAAAGGGAGAGAAATTCAGAACAGAATTTCAAATTCTCATGTAATCCAGACTTTCTGGGGGCATGGAGACTGAATGAGCACCTGTACCCTAAGATCATCTTTAAACCTTAAACTAAAAACATCCCCTGAAATCCTCTTCAAGAAATCTTCGTAACTAGTGACAAATGTCGGCCTTGAGCATCATACTCTTTTACAAACTGTCTGTATGGGACCAACTTACAACAGCTCAAGAGATTAGACCAAAACCTCGGGAGAAATGAGATTCTGTTCCTGGATGAGGGAGGAGAGCAGCTGCACAACTTAAAGAACGGAATCCACCTCAATGAATGTCGGCGTAGAAACCCTTAAATTACTCGGAGTCCTAATGGGTATATTCTCAACAAAAGTAAAATACTTTAAGTTTTTTTTTTAATATAGATGTGTTATTGTCGTTTTAGAATGTGGAGAAGCATTCATCAATGCATACGTTGCATGCATACCTTCCTTGTAAATGATTACTGTGCAAAACAGGTTGCTATTGTTAAGCGCTGAGAAGTAAGATCTTACCTGGTTTTGCCTCTACCAGCACTGGCTCCGAATTGTCTGACGGCTTCCCCACACCACTTGCATTCACTGCACGGACTCTGAAGACATAGGTTTTCCCCTGGTGTAGGTCACAGACCTTAGAGTGGCAGAGAAAAGAGCCAAAGAGCCGTGCATAGACCAAAATTAAAGATGATGCTCATATTTCTCACAACTTATTATGAACATACTACCTTTATTTAAAGTAGTATATTTCAAGTTGGAAAGCTATGCATACCGACAAGGGGAAAAAAAGATTAGCAATCACTCCTGAGCTCCCTTGTGTAAGAATTTGAAGAATTTAAGTTTATTCTCTGTCGTTTTCCGTTTTCCTTTCTCTACATATTTAAAGCAGGATTAAAATCATCCTAAACAGTTTGCAATCTGCTGTTCATATTTAACATATATTCTAACTATTATCTTAACTGTGATTTTTTTAATTGTGCAAAATAGTCCATCATTTTTTCACCTCTAAATTAAGTTAATCTCGTCTTATTCAATCATAGATCACTTATAGCATATCGTACAGCACAATACACCAAAACCAAGTACTTTACCACTGAGTCAATGCCAGCTCACAACGATAGTGTAGAACAGGGTAGAATTGTTCCTGTGAGTTTCTGCCTGTATCTGGATGGGAGCAGAAAGCCCCAGCTTTATCCCATGGAGCACCTGGTGGTTTTGACTGCTGACCTTGCAGGTAGGAGCCCAAAGCAAAACCACTAACCCACCAGGCTCCTTACAATATTACCCACTATATATAATTAAATTTCTAATTAATTTGGTGATATAGAGTCTTGGAAGATGATTCGTTTATTCAAAGGGAATCAGCCATATTGCACATTGCCAAATGACTCTTGTGAAGACTGTATATATTTACAAATCAGTTAATGTGCATCCACATACCTGTCTAAACTGTGACCTTTCTTTCAGCACAAAGACATACGCTGCATTTCTACCTACAGTACACCACAAAGTCCGAAAGTAAAAGAAGCAAGCATCTGCCTTATGACAAATGAGCCACATTATCCTGTGGACCTGCTGCGTCTAAGGACAGCTCTCACAACTGTGCCAGTGACTGGCAAATGGTGAGTACTTAAAATAGAAACATTTAAAGAAAGGGAACCCAAGAGAATTTAAAAATGATAATATCATCAAAGATAATAAAACTCTGTACATATATATGTAAATTTGTGCATATGTATACATCTATATAAGTATCAAATAAGTTTCTATTACATAATCATATAAATCTAACAAATTAAATATGAGCCTCAAATATGAAAAGACATAATATGCCATTACTAAGATTTGTTGAAAAAATGTTGACTATAAACCACTCTGTCTCAGAGTAGCACCCTTAGCAGTTGTTAGACTGCACTAGGGGAAGAAAAGGCATGTCCAAACCGTGTCCCACACGTCAATAGGGTCACGGTGGGTGAATAAGAACACATCACTTCCTGAAGGCACATGATTGCCATCTGCTGGGAAGTTGTAATTGTTACACAAGCCTACGGTGATGAGCAGGTGAATGCCACCCCTTAGACTACCTGTGCCCATCTCTAAGCAGCACAGCACCACTACCACGGTCGTCGCTGCCATACAGAGTATTTATTTGAACAGGTTCACCTTGGGGCTCTGAGCTAAGTCTGCCATAGGAATCAAAATATTTCCAGGCACGAGGGAAAAAATAAAATGAATGAACAGATGAATGAGTACTAGCACCTTTAAATAACGATTTGCAGTTGTTGTCTCATTTACTGTGATCCATTCTTCGGTATCCTCTTCTTTATAATCCACAAAATATCCAGAAACAGGGCTGCTGCCAGAATACACTGGGGCTTTCCAAAGGATTACCAGTGATGTATTCCTGACCTCGCAGAATGTCAGATCATAGGCCGGACCTGGAAAAAACCACACCCAAACTCACACCGAGAGCAGATGGAGGCTCCACCGCCCTACACCTGCCGCTTCCAGACGTGCCCCATACCACAGACATCTCCCCGTGTTCCTCATTAAACCTAACACCCTCGCCATAGGCACACGGATGAGGCCGGGTTTAAGTAAAACTTGGGGAGGAAAGCCCCGCTGAATATTTTGTAGCCTTCTCTAATGAGGCAATCAGGTGAGGATGGGTGTTGTTCAAATAATTCGTGATTTCCCATGGCTCACTAGGGACCAGCAGCGACACATGGCCCGAGAAACTGTGGAAGAAAAGGGAGTGGAACTCACATTGCCCACTCAGTGGGCTGGAACCCATCAGTCACAGGACGAATCATTCAGAGGACCTGAAACACCTGGTCAGGCTAAGCACATCTGTCCACTAGTACATTAACCTCGGTTACGTCACCTACAAATCGCCACAGCAAGTCTAACTGTGTGTAGTGCTGATTCCCCAAATCCGGGTGAGCACTGACCATTAAAGGGAAATGGTCCATCTTAATTAATCACCCTCCTTCCTTTCAATGTCACTGCGCCAGTTCTTAGGAAGCCTTCAAAGAGCTTCTCTAAACTTCAACAGTTCTTTCCTTTCATTACCTTCTCTAAGGAACAAAAGTTAATTTCATTAAAACAGATATCAAAAAGGAAAGAAAGAAATACCATCTAAGCACAAAACTGAAAAGCAGTCTGAATTTTAAGCTTTTTCGGTTCCATCTTTAGTTTTGCTTTGGTTTGGTTTGTTTTTTCATAATTGGAGCATGTATTTCATCCATCTCATTGGGTTTCTGACTGGTTGAATAAAAAACGGACAATAGTACATGAGGGTCTGTGAGAACAGTTTTTAAATGGAGGGTCCTAGCTAGATGCAGATTTGCAACAAGAACATGTGGTAGAACTAGAGCCCACAAGATCCCCGCATTGTCTGGGAGGAAAACAGCTTCAGCTAACATACAAATGTGGACCCTAATTCCATGCTCTCTCAACTTGGGGCCTAAATCAAACCAAACCACTGCCATTTTGTGCACTTTAACTCATCGTGATCGTGTAGGACATAGAACCGCCCCCATGTAGTCCGCAAGGCTCGATAGCTTCACTGCAGCACGCTGCGGCCGCTTTCTCCCGTGGAGCGCCTGGTGGGGTTCTGACTGCCAGCCTTCCAGTTAACTGGCTGCTTTAATCACTGCACCAGGCCTCCTCCTTTGGGGCCCATATTCCTTCTGCCTGGGACCTCTAGTTTCCTCCCCGGTCCCTTTGGAAATACTTCTTTCTTCCTCCAGGATTCAGTATTCATTACTCTCAGTACTTATTCAGTTGTTATCCTTTCCTCCTGTTTTCTGCCTGCATACCGCCCAGACTATTGTCTGAAGGTAGAAAAATTGTGTCATTCTTACTATAAAACACCAGTTTTTGACACAATGGCGATATGCCAAAATATTTGTGAAACACATCGCAGCTGTAAGAAGTCCCTCATGACTGAACTGCAGAGATCAGGTTAATGTCTACAATGGTCAATCCCCTTGGGTCAGAAAGGAAGGAGCTGTTGGTGGCTCATCCAATAAATAAGCCTCTTACCAGGCTCTGGCATGGTCCAGGCTTCACACTTGAAGTGTTCGCTAGGGTCTGACGGCTGTCCTATCCCCGCCAGGTTGGTTGCAGCAATTTTGAATTCATATAATGAGCCTTCTGTCAAGCCTTCCACCTATTTCAATTCATGTGAAATTAATACATGAATTAAAAGATGCAGAACAATTCATTACGGAAGGAAGTGTTCATGATTGACTTATAAAATAAAATAAGATCTCATTAGTATATTAGAATAAATAACTTAAAGACAGCTATTTATGTTTGTTATATTGCAGCTACTATGCCAAGCCCTAGGTACAAATATTAATGCACTCATTCAGTACAGTGTATTCATTTCCGTCTAGCTGGCCCCTTGCCCATACAATAAAAGCAAAGAATGAAAAAATTTGCAAGATGTGTTCTGATTTTAGTGAACCCACAATTTACTAGACATCCACCTCACTATGGCCCAGGAGACCGGGTGCTGGGATGGCAAGGTCCTTCGCTCCTGGTTAAGCCAGTTCAAGTCACTTGCTCTCTGCTTCTTAATCTCCTCTCGAAAAATATGTAAAAAATTGTTTACAAAATCTTTTCAGTTCTAAAATGCTATGATCTATTATTATTTTTAAGCTCTTTTTTTCTGTATAAAATTATGTCATTGTGTCAAGCTCAAACATTCTCTCTAAAATATCTAAGCACATAGCAAAAGATAAACTTTTAAAAACCAACCGTAAAGATCCTCTCTTTAATAGGTGACGAGTTGACCTCGTGCCAATTTTTATGATGCGCTTCCCGCTTGTCTATGTAATACCCGAGGACCGCCGCACCTCCACTGAACCTGGGCAGCTTCCACCCCAGAGTCATAGACTGGCCATCACAGTTCAGCAGCGTAATTCCATAAGGATGAGATGGAACCGCTAATAAAATAAAAAGCAGAGGTTATCCAGAAACCCAGTTAAGAATAATCCCAATATTCTTTCTCCCACCAGAGTCAACTCTAGCCTTTCAAAAGTCAACTGAAAAATAGCCTGAATGCCTGTTAAGTCTTCTGTCGCTTCCGTGGCCTAACTTTTTACCACCTTTGATATTAATTTATCCTTTTTTTAATCACCTTGTTGAGGGCTCATACAACTCTTATCACAATCCATACATGCATCAATTGTGTCAAGAACATTTGTACATTCATTGCCCTCATCATTCTCAAAACATTTGCTCTCCACTTAAGCCCCTGGCATCAGCTCCTCATTTTTTCCCCTTCTTCCCTGCTCCCTCATGAACCCTTGATAATTTATAAATTATTATTATTTTGTCATATCTTATACTGTCGGACGTCTCTCTTCACCCACTTTTCTGTTGTCTGTCCCCCAGGGAGGAGGTTATATGTAGATCCCTGTAATTGGTTCCCCCTTTCCACCCCACCCTCCCAGTATCGCCACTCTCACCACTGGTCCTGAAGGGATCATCTGTCCTGGATTCCCTGTGTTTCCAGTTCCTATCCGTACCAGTGTACATCCTCTGGTCTAGCCAGATTTGTAAAGTAGAATTGGGATCATGATAGTTTGAGAGGGAGGGGGGGAAGCATTTAGGAACTAGAGGAAAGTTGTATGTTTCATCGTTGCTACAGATTTTCATTTATCTTTTATCAAGGAGATTTTTTTTAAGTTTTCTGGTTTGTAAATACATTCTCCCAATATTCCAGTCATCTGAGGACAATTAATTACATGAGAAGGTGTCAAAAAACTGTGGGGAAATCCCACTATCTTTAAATCCTATTTTCCCACAAAGTTTTTGAAGTCCCCGGGTTAAATCTGGCCTAGCTATTTTGAACAACAAAATATCTCCCACTTTGAGAAGATCTTTGAGAAAGAAGCTTTCTTTCCTATAGCATGAAAGCAACACCTATTCACATGATGGTCTAAGATGATGAATGTTATTTAGACTATTAAGTTTTAATTTCCTACATATTTAAACCAAAACCCAGTGCCATCAAGTTAATTCCGACGCGTGGCAATCCTATAGGTAGAATAGAACTGACCCCTAGAATTGGCAAGACTATCAATCTGTAAAGTAGCATACAACCTCGTCCTCCTCCTGCAGTGAAGCTTCTGGGTTAGAACCCAACACTATTTATAAAAACTTCAGATTCATTTAAATGAATATGGGTTCTTTTTTTTTTTCTATTTTAAGCACTGTGTTTGAAAATAAGCAATCTTTCCCTAAAAGGTCGGGAAGTATGTATTAATACTTTTCCCCTGAGTCTGTATAAACTAAATATGGTCCTCCTCTGTACCCTGAGATAAGCAAGCACTGTAAATAAGCTATTTGGGGGAAATGAAAGCTGAAATTATTGGCATATATTTAGTAGGGATGACTTTAAAAGGTAAATGGGACTACTTGAAAACCTCTCCTGACAAGAATTTGAGGACAGACCTGAATAGCAACTTTAAAGCAAAAGAGTAATTGCTGGTCATTGTGGTAGCACTGCTGTTAGAAGAATAATTTTAACTTCTGAAGATCTTTGTTAGTTTAAAGACCAAAATAATAATAATAATAATAATTAAGGCTTAAAGATTCTCTTCAAAGTGAAGTGCTACTACTGTGCTTCTTAGTGCCTAAAATGTAATATTACTATTGCCAATTATACTGGAATATGTTTAAGCAAGGTAGTACGTTTAAAGACCAAGCGCAACATATACAAATATAGAGCTTTATTAGATCAGTGTTTCTATGGATCGCCACTGAGATGCAGGACCTGAATTGTTCAGTTTGATCAAATGAGTGATCATTTCAAGAGATTACTATAAATCTAAAAGTTGCACATGCATTGGAAATTCTCAGAAACAATTTAATTTTTTAAAAAGACATAATTTATTGAAGTTTCTTGAACTGTGCATAACTCAAAAGGCTATTAATGTTGGTCTACTTTAGCATACATTTTGAAAAGAGAACTTCATATACTATAACATATATATGTTATAGTTTTAATATAGGTATGAGTGTTTGAAAACAAATGTGACCTCTAATAATATTTTCTTTTTTTTAATTTGCTGTTTATTAGCATGTTACCAATTCTCCCTCTCACAATGGCATTTCCAATTGATGAGAGTTTTCAACAAAATTGCGTGTTCTCTGCTGAACAGTTTACATCCACTTTTTTCTTCTGGTAATATTCCAAATGGCACCATAAATGTTTATTCATGCAGAAATTAAAATGTACTCGGGAACTCAAAATTGGAGTTGAATAGCCTATGAATTACTTACTGAGGGCAGCCTGGACTTTTATAATATCAGACTCTTGTGAATTTTCACTTGTCCCAACAGCATTAACGGCTTTCACTCGGAAGATGTACTGCTCACCCGTCGTTAAGCCGTGCACAACAAACCTGAGCAAAACATGAATCGGGGGCACGGTTTCCATTGGCAGTTGTTCATTCCTCTCCCAGCCGAAGGCGAAATCCTTTAGCAGACTTTGTGCATATACATATTTCACTTAAACTAAAGCAAAGTTTGCTCTTTGAGTTATACATGTATATAATACATATGTTTTAATTCTCTGTTTTACTCAATTAATTCAAAGCAATATTCCATGACCAATAGATAAGACAGCAGCACTCAGTTATAAATGGAGATGATGCAAGTTCAATTTCTAGATACAGATTGTCAGTTGCTGAATCTGGGCCTAAGAGATAGAAGCAAACCTGTTGCCAGTAGCAAGTGGCCTTGTTAAAGTCACTTCCTCTGTGACGTCCCCTTCATTTACGAATTGTATGAGTTTTAACTGAATCACAGATACATGACTAAATAGAATTCAATTGCTTACTTAAGAGAACTCTGTGTTTTGTTTGTTTATTAGTTTGTTTGTTTTTAATGTAACCGTGATAGTCTGAGACTTTGAAGTCAGATAGATTGGACTTAAATGTTGGCTTTGACACAAATTTTATGTCCTTAATCAAGTTCTGTAACCTCTGTAAATTTCTATTTTGCCATCTACAAATGGAGAGTATAGTCCCTATCTCACAGCATTGATATAATATATATATATAACTACCTAAATGCTTAGCACAGTTGCTTGCATATGGTACATATTCAGAAAATGCAAGCAATTATCTTATTCATTCAACCCATATTTTCTAATCATTTATAAGCCTTCGGCAATGGGATAATACTTAATTTCTTATATTCTGTTATGTCTTTATTTGCTAGCCAGTAACTGGAGAATAACATCTAACTGTTATCAAATACATTTTCTTTCCTAGCCATAGTTTTGTGGTTTTTCTTTTTCAAATTCATTTTTAAAAGATTTAAAGAAGGAAAATGACTAGGCAATAATTGACAGCCTATCCACAAATGGTGATTCTGACAGCTGCCTATATTTCCCTAAGAAGCATAGCATGGAGAAAACTTAATCAGCACAGACAATCCCTGCACACTCAGCATGAAGCCGGAGTAAATCAATTCCAAAAGTAGAACTGCTCGCACTGGCCCCTCCAAGGGAGAAACGGAGTCACAGCAGTTCTGCCTCCACTGGAGGGCTAGAGAATAGGGCTGTCAGTTATATGCAGACAGCAATTTTTAAAGTTTGGAAAAATCAATGAGGAAAAATAAAATGACTACTTTCACATTGTACTTACTCTTTAATTCTTTGATGCAGAGATAAGTCTTAAATGCTGATTATGTCAGGAAAGCCATGGTACTAGAACTTTTTACAAGGAAATAAATCATTTTAGTCAAGGGTTTAATAACTAACTCATCAAAACATGTCAAATTTAAGCTTTCAAAACTTGTGAATTATGTATTCCCTTATGTGTGAATAAGAAAGCAGGCTCATGTTTATAGACTGAAATGGTATCGAAAGTTTCTACCACAGTAAATTCTACTGTGAATACTACTAGGTGGTTAATGCCTGATTTTGTGTTTTAAGAATAACCGTGGTTTATTCCAGTGCTGTGATTTCTCAGACTCAAGGCGATGAGAGTCTCTCACACTACAGCCTGTAAAGTACCTGTTATAATCGATGGGCTTGTGATTACACGGTTCCCAGTTATTGGTTCCTGCCACGCAGCAGTCGACGTAGTAGCCCAGTAGGTCCTCTTCGTGTTTGGGCCTGTCCCACTGCACCACGACAGATGACTTGGTGTTCCTTGAGGCAAGTACACGACCGGGCGCAGAAGGAACAGCTTTGCAGAGAAGATAAAATGATATGTGATACATGGTAGAAAAAGAGAGAATGATTTTTTATAATCATGGGATGCTAACTCACTAGCTAAATAAATGTATGTTTTAATGTAACTATTGTACTAAAATTTTGGAAGCCATAGCAGAAGTGTTCAATCCGGTTATTCGACAAGAAATGGTCAATCAGATGATCAGCTTTGAATGAAACTTGGACCAGGGGGAAAGGGATAAGGAAGCAAGCACAGGCTTCCAAGCAGAGACGGGCAATAGGGCTTGATAGATGGTCATTTCCTCTTTCCGGTTCTCTATGGAATTCTGACTCGAGGAGGGAAAAAGAAGTATTACAATAATAAAATCTGTTCCTCCACCAGGTTGAAGACACTATTCTGGTCCACAAACATGTTTGCAATGTAAAATACCAATTTAAAAAAGAAAGACAACATCTTTCTATAAGACTCCTCAGAATCAGGGCCAACAAAAATGATTGCCACGGAGGTGTCCTAACTTATAACGACCCTATGCGGGGTTTCCAAGGTGCAAGTCCTTATGGGAGCAAGTGTCTTTCTCGTGTGTCATGCATACTGCAGCATCACAGGAATCAGTAAAGTGATTCACAATCAAATCAAGATTTGACTATCAAAGTTTCTCACCTAGAGCTGAAGACCACTCGTGAACTTCAAATGAGCAACAGGTGAACTTGGTCTTGGCTCACTTCAGTCCTTGCTACAGTAGATGCCTTGGGGCCCATTCCCTCACCCAACCCCAGGGTTTCACACAACCGTTAACATCTTCTCTACTTGCCATAAGTGTCAGATTGTCATGACATGTCCTTATGACACTCTCTTGACAGAGAGTCAAGTTCTTTGAAACATCTAATTCTGTCATTTTGTGGCACTTATCTCTGGATGTGAGGTGTAGCTGCAAAGGACGATAGCTGGAGAGAGGTAAGAGTTCCAGCCGAATGATACTGCACCATACTAGGCATGAAGGTAACCTTATGAACAGATTCCTCAAACAGGGGGAGGAAGGGCAGTTTAAAACCAGGGTGAGTCGGGTTCCAGTTCATAGAGGCATAGCATAATTCCAAACAAAGCGTGTTTGAACACATCTCTGAGATAAACAGCGGCTACAGACAGGTTCTATCGGTAATATACTTGACTCGGTTTCCTTAGAAATCCAAAGACAAAAACGAAGTCACTGCCATCCATTTAATTCCAATTCATAGTAACCCTGTCTGGGGTTTCCAAGGTTGTCAATCTTTATGAGAGAAGACAGCCTCAAGTTTTTCCCACAGAGAGGCTGGTGGGTTCGAACCAGCAACCAACCTTGTGGTTAGCAGTCCAATGTTTACAGTATCCTTGGGGTGCCTTCAAAAATCTGGTCCAGTCAAAGTGGTTGCTTCTGAGGGGATCTGCTTGGACAGTGACATTCGAAGAAGAGAGGCTAGCTCAGAGATTTTGGTGACTGCTTAGGGGACAACAAAGGGGAGTCTTGAATGGATGCTCCCCAAGGACAGAATGAGCACAGGGACTGCCGAGGACGGAGTTGAAAGAAAGGTGAAAGCTGCACGGATGAGAACAGAAATCCAAGAAAGTTATAGCAAGGATTGTTTTCCTCATCACAGCGACTCATCTACCCATTCTTGCGGGACAGCAAGGGCTGTCCTGGGATGATTTCCCCCACAGCCTTGATCTGACCCCCACAGACTGATTTTTGTTCCCCAAAACTCAAAGAGCATTGAAAAGGAACATGATTCATCTCCTTCGAAGATACACAGACTGCTATTTTGGCTTGGTGTAAATGGAAGAACACCGAATTCTTCAGGAAAATGGCTTTAGTGATAAAACACTGTTTTCAGAAGTGTATATACTTCAACGAAGAATAAAATTATAGGAACCGGTACTGAACAAAAACATCAGTATATGAAGCTCTTGTTTCTTTAAATATCTTCCATTGAAGTACATACACTTCTGAAGGCAGCATACCATCTCTCTGTAATTTTTCACTTACCACCATGTTATCTTACATATCTCGATATTTTGCCCATAAAAATATGGTATGTCCAGTTATTCCAAATTAGAATTCCTGATAACTAGGATGTCTCTATCAAAATGGCTTAAAAGTATTTCAAGAAATTCTCTTGGTATTGCTATAATTCTGAAGTGAATTTCAATGCAGAATTTATATCACTTGTGTTTTTAATCTTCAGAGAGAGGATGGTCAACGCAGATGGGCAGTAAACTCTAGTGCATTTAGAGTTGGAAAGTTTTTAAAAAGACCATTTCCTTAAAATATTTCAAGTCATTTATTTTCATAAGGCTCTCTGGTGGTGCAGTAAAGTATTCATAAGCCAAGTACAAGGTCAGCAGTTCAGACCCCGCCAGTCCATAAGAGAGAAATGTGGCCATCATCTTTCTTAAAGAATACAGACTTGGAAAAACCTATGGGCCAGGTCTAGTCTATTAGATAGGGTTGCTGTGAGTCAGAAGTGATTTGACACAACAAAATATTGCTTTCATAAAAGAAGATAGAACAGAGAAATGTTGAGAACCAATTGAAGCAGAGCATGGAATACCGGTAGAAAATGAAATTTTAAAGCAACTTGAATTTTTTCTTATAAAACATTAATGTATTTATTAATATCATTTAGTGTTTATTCAGTGTCATCTTAAAGTTTGTTTTCTGTTGTCAGCTGTGTCAATTTGTCCCTCACACCCTTGGCGCAGGTCACTCCCCTTCATGATTCCAGGCACAGGAAATAAACTATGGCCCACTGCCCACTACCTGGTTCTGCACCATCTTTGTGTGCGAGCACGTCTTCATTTGGAACCCCCACTGAGACCTGTCAATCACAATAAAAAACCGCAAGCCTCCACTGGCCGATCATGATGACCACACAGGAGGCACGTTGACTGGGGATCCAACTCATGTCTCCTGCAAGGGGATGAGATGGCGCCACGGAAAGCCCAGGGCTCAAAGGTTTAGTTCCTTGGGGAAGGAGCTTACCAACGGTGTCTTGTGCTTGAATGGGGGCAGTTATTTCTGATGGGTCGCTCAGGCCGTGCTTATTTGCTGACAAGACTCGAAACACGTAAGACTTCCCTTCAGCAAGATCAAACACTGCGTACCGAGGGGATCTCACCGCTGTCTGGGCATTGACCCGCTGCCAGCTCCCACTGCCCACCATGGACTAGAAAGAAAATGAGGGTTTACAGTTAATCAGATGAGGAACATGATGCCATGTTCTTTGCCTATTTTGTTAAATGAAATTTAGGAAGCAAGTGATATGCATATGATATAATCCCCAGTGTGTTACCAACTCTAACGAGAAAATCAAATGATAAATATATGGACGATATGTGAATAGTGGTGATGTTATACAATGAAATTACTTAGGATGTTAACTTCATTTTATATGACTGTTCTGTATTTTCTAAATTTTTTATGCTACTTGTTTGAATTTCATCAGTTTTAAAACCTTGGATATTTACCCTTAGAGATAAAAGATTAAAAAAAAAAACATTTTTCAAAGTATTTCTCAGAAAGTAAAATTCAGATGTATATTGACCTGTCAACAGGCTGCTAAAAAAAAAAAAAAAAGTTTAATACATTCCAAGCCACAACGCAGGCTTCTAGAAACTAGATTCTCGTTTAAAGACACTTTCTCCTTTGAGCAGCTGCGAAAACCACTCCCCAGAAACAGAATGCAGGTGCTCTTTGGACAAGCTCCTTCCCCTGCTGATGTCCTCAGACTTTAAAGGCCACAGCCTGTGTGTTTTTAGACCACGTGGGCGACATTGTGAAGACAGCAGAAGACAGAGAGGAAGAGAAGGGAAATAACATGATCGTCTCTTCCACCGGGAGATGGGCTTGAACAGAGGGGAAAATCCTGTTGCCATCAAGACAGTGTGGCTCATGGCATCTACACGTGCCCATGCCCCACTGCGAGGCTTTCCTTGGTAAACAGTAGCAGTTCACCAGGCCTTTTGTCCAAGGGCCTGCTGGGAAAGTTTAAACCACCAACCTTCCAGTAAGTGGCCTGGCACTTAAGTGTCTGTGCCACCCAGGGACCTTGAGAGAAAGACCCTTATATTAGAGGAAAGGGAGCTAGGGGAAACTGGGAGAAAAGCAAGATTTGGTCAAAGAAGAGATTTAGAGCCAAAGTCAAGCCATCAGGTGTATGTATACCTTTTGAACAAAACTAGAAGAAAGTATGGAGATCTCAATATCTTCAGTGGAGGAAACGGTCCATACATACTTTTGGATCATATGAATATGAACAAGGCATCGCAGCCTTCATTACAAATAAAACACCTACGTGGACAATCAACCATTAGACTCCAGAATCTATAAGTCTCAACTTGTAAAGAAATAGTCAGTGTGCCATAGATAAGTCTATGAAGCAGCACCAAAAAAACGGAATTTTTTTTCTCAAATAAATTTAAATTTATTTTTATAAAACAATATTAGCACCTTCAAAGTACTCTCCATTACACTTAGTATTTGTGTCAAATCTGCAATTCCATTCTTGGAAACATTTTTCAAACTCATCTGCTGGGATGGCTGATAGCACCTCCCTCGTTTTTCTCTTCCACATCATCAAATCGCTGCCCTTTCATATCCCTCTTCAATCGCGGAAACAAAAAGAAGTCGCATGGAGCAAGGTCAGGTAAGTGAGGTGTGTAGGTTAAGAGAGGCATGCTGTTTTTTGCCCAAAACTGGTGCACCGAGATAGCTGCATGAGCAGGCGCATTGTCATGGTGGCAAAACCAGTCCCCCATCTGCCCCAAATCAAGCCTTTTTTGTCGTACACTGTTATGCAATCTTTTCAAAACTTCTAAATGGAAATCTTGGTTAACAGTCTGACCTGGTGGGACAAACTCCAAATGTACCATGAGTTGACATGTTTGTCCATTTGGAAGTTGACAGGTGTCTAGAATGAGGCTTGTCATCAGTCGACATTTCACCTTTTTTGAAATGAGAAAACCACTCATACACTTTGGTTTTTCCCATAGTGCTGTGCTCAACATCACAACAGTTTCTGCAGAATTTTTCCCGAGCAGGAAACAAAATTTCATAGCTGCATGCTGTTCTCTTAAATCGGCCATCACAAAGAAACAAGGTTCAAGCGAAACTGCTTTTACAAAAAAAGTCATATTGACTAGAGAGAATCATCCCAGGGGATGCCACTCATTTCTATGTAGCAGATGTGCTCCACTGTATTTTCAAAGACTGGACTTTCAGAAATGAATCACCAGGCCTTTCTTCGAATGCACCTTTGAGTGGTCTCAAGTCTCCAACTTTCTAGTTAGAAGCTGAGTCTGCATCACTCAGGAACTTTGTGGAGCACAGTTCTACTCTGACACACATGGGCTCACCAGGAGTTAGAATCCTTAGTGACACACGTTCATGGATGCACCTAAGCTCCAGCCCCAGGCTGGGACTTGGTGCTACTCCGTGTTTGCCTCGGTCTTCTCAGAGAATCATTCACCTCAAACTCTACTAGGAAGCTACCCCGTCTCACACACATTTAGATCCTCGCGGACCCACCACACAGAAGCTGTTCAGGCACTATTTACAGCTAGTACCAACTGAATAAATCCTTGCTAACATGCTATCTCGATGATGGAGAAAACCCAGACCAAACCAAACCCACTGACGCACAGTGGCAGAGTAGAAGTGTCTCTTAGGCTTTCCAAGGCTGTCGATCTTCACTTAAGCAGGCGGCTCCGTCTCTCACCTGCGGAGCAACTGTGAATTCAAACTGCCATCCTTTCGCTCTGCAGCTGAGTGCTCTAATCTCTGCGCCACCAGGGCTTCTGAGGAAGGGAGAGCTTTTAAAATTCTTTCAATAAAACTTGTTATTTCTGCCATCAGTGGTAGATAAGTAAGAAAATACAAATACCTCAGAAGAAAATACTTTGATGTTTCATCTTCTGACACACCAACTATCGACTATTTAGATTTCTCATAACATAAATAACTGTATTTCACCACCCAATATTAATAAGTTAACCATTTTCCTTGAAATACTTCCAATTACAGACCCACAGATATTTAAGCCTTGCATTTAAGTAGTGAAGGCCAGAGGGCCACTGTGTACATTTTGGAATCTGAAATATTTTGTTAATTTATGCTTATCACTTATAATATGCTTCATTTAATTGCACTATATTGTAGATTATACTGTGCGCTCTATATAGCCTGCATATATTACACACAAACTGTACAATATTACATATGGTACTGTAACCGAGTGTCACAAAACCACAGTTACAGTGTTGATACAATTCTAAAGGTTTTCAATGGCTTCGAATCCGATAGTGGGATGTGAAACAAAATTACTGTGTCCTATGCAGTTTTCAAATTGGACATACAGGATTAAGCAGGAAAGAGTGCATACCATAGTAATGATGTAGTCTGTGAATTTTTCTTTAAATACGTGTGTGTACAGTGCAATGTACAGCAATGTACAGTATATTTCTTTGTGCATATTACCTAGCCAAAAGAGTCTTCAAAGCAATGATTTAATCATTCTAAATCTATCTCATACCCACCTGAAGTATGAATTTATTCTACAAGGTTGCCACCAAGTGGCCAGCCAGCTTAGGAACAAACACTATAAACCGTGGCAAACTATCTTCCACCTTCAAGGCCTCATGCATACCTCAGACGCTAAGAGATTAGTGTTTATGAGGAAGAGAACTTCTACATCCATCAGGTTCAATCGCTTCTTCTTATAGTGGCATATAAATGGTATCAAAAGACATCATTTTCCTAATGCCAATCCCCAATCTAAAATCCTTTTCACCGTATCAGATGGCCCCCCATGTTCAGTCCCAATTAAAGAATAATGATACAATGTCTGCTGTGATTGATGTGATAGTTTCTTCTCTTTAAAACACATCCAATAAGATAAGGTGAGACAATACCCAGTCTTGCTTTTTCTGGAAATGTGATTACACCGTACCTTCTCGATAAAATACATTAAGGGCTCCTTGCCACGGGGAGCAGGTGGTTCCCAGCTGAGGACAACATATGTTTTGCTGATTTCTGAAGCATGTACATTGGTGGGAGGTCCTGGAATCCAAACTTCACCTGGGGGAGTAACACACATAGTAAATGCTAAACAGTAGATGAGCCCCCAGGTCGGCACATCCATCGCTTGAATGCAGCTTGGGGAGCACACTGTCTCTTGAGCGCACTGTCCCTTCAAGACCCTGGCTATGTCTTTAAGGAGTTGCCATTTCTGTGTTGTACTTTCCCTTGCTTCTGTTTTGGGAAAGTAAACCACAAGGACTTTCTTTTTCAGTGTCAAAGTATAGTGTGCTAGTAAAGATCATCCAATTTCTGTTTCAAACTTAGACCAGTTGGTAAGAAAATAGTATAATCTGAAAATCTTCCAGATTTTCAGCAGCAAGCAGCGATAAGGACTGACCCAGAAGAAATGGGACATTTAACTAGAAATGGTGCTTTGACTGTACTGGGAATTTGTGCAGAGAAAGTATTAACAATCTGTGTTCTGCAATATGGAAGCATTGCAAATGTAATTGTACTGTCTCTTAAGGACTCTCTCTGGTTATTTTCTTCATACTGTCTGCCCTCAAAGCATTTAAATTATATATCAACCTCTAAAGTGCATTGTTTGTCCCTCCCTCGGTAGATCTGTACCACATTCACAAACACCATAATCCATGCCTATTTATTTGAAATTCTGGAACGACCTGGATACGCCTTTTGCAAAGAGCTAAGATATTGGCATCAGGTGTCCCTGTATGCCTTTTTCTGGCACGTGTCTATTTTTTAATATCATATGAAGTGTCAAGAGGGAGTTGTGTTTGTATGTATGAGGTACTTTATAAGGAGTGAAGTTTATCCTGATGTACAATTCTTGTAATATAAAAAATATTATGAGCTTTGGATTAGATTAGCACATGATTCACAAGTTTTGAACTTCCCCAGGTCATCTTTGAACTCTTCTAAATATCCAATGACTCCCTCTGGACTCTGCTGCAAACAAGGAATGGAATGGCCTCATGGAAACAGCACTAAACAAGATTGTGTTCCATTTCACAAGAGACCTGTTACAGAGGACATCAAATTTTAGAGACAACACCAGCGTAGAACCTCTGCCAGGCTTTATCTGGAATCATTTCTGGCAAGTGGGTTGAATTGCAAACAAGGAGTCGGAGTGTCTATAGGAGAGTGCCAAGATCTAAGGGGTGCAGGGCAGGGGGCGGGGGGGGACCCACAGGACACTCTATTAGCTTCCTCTCAATCCATGTACTGCTGATATAGAGAGAGAGACACTACAGAGAGAAGGTAGTGGGGATCTTATCTTAGAATAATTTAGTCTAAACTTCCCAACTGAATCATGGTTTATTGCCAACATATCAACCGGCATAGGAAGCAAACCAAGAGCACAGAAGGGAACCAGGCAAATAATAAAAGTAGTGTGTGAAAGTGTGAATGCTTAAAGGCAGAATTGTCTTTCACACACTTTCAGATCTGAAATATCTTGCTAATTTTAGACTTGGCCCAGAGCTTTTAGGCACAGGGGGAAAAGATGAATTCAAAATATTTTATTTGATGCCAAGGCAAGAAGAATCTATTCTATGCAACAGGGAATTCTCAATCAAGTTGAAATACCTTAGTTTAGACTTTCAGCATCACCTTGAGTGATACCTGGCATGAGCTATGTCGATTTCCAAATGCCTCAATCATGGACAGAAGAACCCTAGCTCATCAAAGATTGGGATTCAAAACGACCCCCCTGTGCCAAGGAGGAGTTGTTGCTAACTAGTACCAAGCCTGTTCCAGCTTCATGGCAGTGCCATACATAACAGAATTGAATTGTTGTGACGCACAAGCTTTCATAAGTCCACCTTCATGCCTTCCTTCCTAATCCACATTAATCTGGAAGCTCCATGGAAGCCTGTTCAACAAAGATCGCAGAAACAAATAAATCTTCACTGACGGGCTACTAGTCCTTGAACCAGAGATGAATTGGCCAAGAACTGGACCCAGGTCTCCTGCAGAAAAGGCCCAAGAATTCTCCCTTGGAACTCCCACTGCCCACCATGCTAAGAAAGAGCCAAGGAAATAGCATTATATTAATGATTAGAAAACCAGCTGAGAAAATCATTTGGGGGGAAATAAAGATAAACAAAATAAGAGATGGACAATTGCTTTTATACACAGGTATTTTCACCATGTTCTGTTAAGTTAGAGATGCTGCCCTTAGTCTCTTCTTCGGTATCATATTTCTCAGTAGCCCAGTTCCAATGGGCTGTATCAATATTGGTGAAAATACTAGTCAGATAGATAGATGATAAAATAATTCTATACCTATTATTTTATTTGATGCTTGACACATAGGAAGAAACATGATTTCTCCCATTTAAAAAACTCATAAGTGATAACTACAGTACTAACAGCCTACATTAATCATAGCCTCATCTACCCTGAAGGGAGAACTAGATGGTGCCCACCTACCAATAGCAACCATTCTAGAGAGAATGAAAGAAAAATATAGGACAAAATTTAAATTCTTTATTAAAAAAAAAAAAAAGAACAGGCTGGTTGAGACAAGAGGGACCCCTGAGACTATTGCTGTGAGATCCTCTTTGAACTTTGAACTAAAGCTACTCCCAGAGGTCAACCTTCAGCTCACTAGCAAATGGGCTCATGAAATAAGATGTATCACCAGTGAGCACTGTGCAGCTTTTTTTAAAAAGCATCGATGTGAGACTGAATGGTCACCACTTCCCCTAAAGTAAAGTAAAGTAAAGTAAAGTAAAGTAAAGATGAGAAGGTAGCGTAGAAACTATATACAGAATGGAAATCATCAGAATGCTGATTCACCACAAAAAAATGTAATCAGTGTCACAGAACAATATAAAAATGACTACAAAGAACCTAATTTTCTTTGTAAACTTTTATTAAAATATTAGAGAAAATTCCTAAATGAATTCAGAAAGATGTAGCACTTTTCTAAAAGCACCCAGACCTTACATCGTGGAATTAGAGTTTCAGTTGGGTCCCTCGGAATCCAAAGCCAGAGTCCTCGGTATCAGTGGAAGGAACCACAGCCTCTCCAGGGAATGTTTCTCTAACTTAATGATATATGAAGCTTATTTGGAATTTGTAGAACCCTAAGAGAAGAGAATTCAAGAGACTACCAAAAACATGACCGAATCTAGAATCTTTCTCTCTCTCTGCATTTATTTTAATTAGGTGCCCCTTTTTAAATGACTAATGCATTTTTAATGACATAAAATTTCCAAACCTCTAAAGTACCTAAAGACTTGCCTCAAACCTAGTTTGTTTCGAGACATGGAAGTTGAATCCTAACTGTATGAAAAATCCTCACATCAGAGAAGGGGACCCTGTGTGGCTGAACCTCAGACAGTATCTGTGTCCCAAGTCAAACAGTGTTGCTTCTAAGCATCCTCGCCTCTGCTGCTCATGACCAGCTCCATAAACAGCCTCTGACATGTTTCCCCAAGTAGGAGTAATGGGCAACCATGCTCAAAAATGCAAGCCACAGACCCAGAGCGTCAGAGAAGCTGCCCTTTTTATAAGAAAGGAAACAAAATAAATGAGAAAAATGCTACTGTGACTCCCACATGAAAACAAGATCTGTTGTGTCTATAAACCTCACTTCAATTACATCTATTGAAAGGCCAAATCTTTGAAAATATGGTATGCCTTTATTTAGCACTAGATACATGGCTAGGTTTTCATATCTCCCTACACCTATATCTATATGTGAACAGATTGTCTCCCCCCACCCAACGGCATAGTTCCTGTTTTGAAAGGTTTATTAGATTATATCATTTTATATCCCCCATGCTCTTCACAATGACCTTTACATAATGCAAATTTTATCATAGATATATGACATTTATAAAGCAACTTACATCTTCACATTTTAGGCCATTTTTATCAGACTGAATTCCTACATGACTACTCAAGGCAACCCGGACTACACCTCTCCTCGCCAATCCCGTATACACAGGAGGAGGAGGGGAAAAGAGAACTTCATTTTCCTCTGCATGCCCCAGACTCGTGTTTTTCAGAATGATCTACTACAAGATCAACTCTTCCAACATAATTTGAAACTATTGCTGGGGGGCGGGGAGTGGGGGGAGAGGTGGGGGACAATACAATACCTTTTTAAAATCATCCCCTCAAATGTTGAGAGTTCACTAGGCACCACGCACTATGCTAGGCTAGTCAATTATGTTTTATGGTTATTTATTGATGAGTAATATTTATTGAAGCATCTTTCCTGGTTTCTTACTTCCTCTGGAAGTAATGGTGTTAACAACGGCTTATCCTTGAAACGTTAAAATGGGTTAACCACAACTCTTAAAGGATGTTCTTCTGGAAATTGTATGTCTCTTATGGAGGATCATTGGGATAGGTTTTAATTTTTGAGGTTACAAAAAATATTTCTAGACCTCTCAGGGGTATTAAACAGATGAGGTATTCACAAAACAAATATAAAGCACCATTCTATAAACATTCAAACCTGGAGCATCATTTGACAGGACAAACTCAATCTATTTCAGTTTAAGTATTAAGGATGAATTTTTGCTTTAAAAAAAATTCCAGTAATGAAATATTTGTGGCAAGAATACCAACAGTAGCCAGTAATGACTTCTTAGTTTGGGTTTTTCCATAAAATTACAAAGTAGCCAAAAGAATGTATTTATAACATTGAAACAAAAGCAAGGCAGTCACAACTTGCTCCATATTCTCACTTCTTTATTTTGCCTTATTATTCCGCCTCTTTTTAAAACTTCTGTAGAAATTAGCATTTGAATTGTCATTTTTATTTTTACACGTAAAGAGTGTGCCTAACAGGTGAGGTTTATTTTCCCTCGTTTCTTAATCTCTAACTTTAATACTAAATGTCTAAGGTATACTCAGGTGAAGAGCTACTTACCTTCAAGGTCATCCTGGTAAATTACAATTTCTTTTTCTCCCTCCAAATGAATTGCTGCGGAGAGAAAATTTGATACAAAGTTTGATATCTACAGATTTCCTTTAAAAAGCACTGATTCTCCTAATTGACTGCAAGGTCATAATCACCGTTGAATTATGATTACAAAATATGCACCACTGTGAAGGAAGCAGAGCTGGTATTTTGGAACTGGTGCTAGTACTATTGAGCACCTCTCAGCTCTTTGCAGCACATTCAAAAGATCATCTGGAAAGGAAAATATAGTGGCTCATTTAAAACCACAATTAAGGAACCATTCCCATTAAGGAATCTGTGTCATGTGAAATTAATATTCAGAAATAGAGTGACTTAGTTTCAAGGCCTTCTAAGTCTCATTAAGTGATGAAATTATATCATCAATGGACTAAAAATATGTTAAGGGTCTAATTTTGAACCAATTTAACAGGATTTCAGAAAAGAGCACTATCAAGGTGAAGCAAATTGGTGTTAAAGTATAAATGTCAGTCTGGCTATATCCATGCCTAGATTGACATTGATGGAGACTTAAGAGGCCAGTAAAATATGGCTGTGCTATGCTCCTCACTGGAAGACATTCTCGTCCTCATTACAAGGCTGGGGAGTAGAAGAAAAGAACAAAGCGCACATAAAACACCCCAAAGTTTCCCAGTCATGGTTGGAACTTAACATTTGACTGATCTACCTTGTAACCTCTTGAGGTCAACGGGATCAAGGGCTGCCACTGCTTCAGAGACCCTAGAAGGCCTGCTAACACCTGCGTTATTGACGGCCCGGACCCGGAACACGTAAGATCTGCCTTCGCAAAGTCCAGTGACCGGGTATTTGCAGAATTTTACTGGTGAATCATTGCACTGAATCCAATTATTAGTTCCCACTTCACACCTTCAAATGAAAAGAGAGAGTACAGAATAACAAATCCATCTAATAAATATGCCCGGGTATAACAATTAAACCAGGAAGATCTAAAATTGGTATTGATTTATACAGAGAGCAGGAGCCCTGGTGGCGTAATGGTTTACGTGTTGGACCAGTAACCGCAAGGCTGGCAATTCAAACCTCCCAGCAGGTTTCAGGGAAGAAGATTGGGTTTTCTGCTTCCTTTAAAGTGCCCAGCCTCGAAAACCCGCAGCAGCTCTCTGTCCTGGAAGACGGTGATGAGTCTCAGTGCCCCGCCCGGTAGTGGGTTGCATTGGGTTGGGTTTAGGTGGACAAAGAGTAATGTAAACCAACTTTAAAAGGCAGCACTATTTACCACGGCATTCAGCTCAAGGGTTCACTGAAAAGTCGGAGGATCGAACACACCTAGAGGCTCCAAGGAAGAAAGATGGGGGATCTGTTTCCTGGAGATCCAATTCGGTCATCTGAACCCTTACTTTCAAGTGTTGGAGATCAAGGTCTGCCTTCAAACAGGTAAACTTCTCAAAATGTTATTTTAAACCTATCATTTTGAGTTCGTTTTCCAACGTACATCACAAGATAGCCTCGAAGCTCTCCAGCAAGCCTATCGCCACGGCAGAGAGGGTGAAATCGTTCTTCACCCCATGTCCCTAGCACACTCCCACTAGGCAGAGCCACCGATGTCAATCCTCAGTGAAACACAGGCTCACAGTGTACTCCAAATAATGTTAAGCTGGTGCCTTAAACATTCCCGAGGTTGAGAGTTGAAGCTTTTTGAAAATATTAATTAGCTTCTAAGCAGAAACCTAGAAATGTAGAAAAGATTAACCTCCATTTTTCACAGGTTAAGAAATTGAAGTATAAAAACTTCACGTGAAATTCCCTGGAGAAAATAGAAGGTTCATGAAATTAATCTTTCTGAAATATTCATCTTCTAGTTATATGTGCATTTTTGAAAGTACTCTTTTTTTTCTCCTAATGATACAGACTTTTTCATGAAAATTCTAGAATTTGCATGTCCTGGTTTATGTCACTAAAGCAGGAAGCTGGGAGGGCGGGGGAGAAATACAAACGCAATAAAAAACAAAACTTACAAGTTGCAAGGTCAGGAGGCCTAAGTACGGACAAGAAACTAGAAGCACTACTCAGAGAACACGTTGCTGTTGGTTGTCTGGGGTTGTCCGTGGCATTGGTTTTGTAACAAGGGGAGGAGTAGATATTATTAACTGAGAAAGGTTACCTTACGTGCTTTTTGCCAACATGGGTTGGGTAAATTAGCAAGCATGACAGGAGAAAAGAAAGAGTGCTTTCCAGCTTGGAGTTCTAATTCAAGGTCGGTGCTGGACAGTATGCACCGCAAGCATAACTCTAGAATAACAAAAATGCCATGGCAGTTCAACAAGAAACTGTTGGGGTACCAAGAAAATAGTTTCATCAGCCTAATGCAAAAAAAAAAGACAAAAAATCATTGGGTTTTTTTTTTCTGAAATAGACATTGCTTTATTGTGATATGTATAAGTGTATGCATATATAAACTTAAATTTCTACCAGTAACCATCCTTTTTATAATGCAAGATTGACCATCCTATTTTATTTCTAAATGCATTTTAACCATAGTTTAGTCCAATGATATTTGAAGCATCAATCACATGTCTAACAAGCTCACTATGGAGTTTTGCTTATGAGACAATGAGTTTATGTTAATAGGGATGACATTATTTGAAACTTTTGATTGTAAAACTTGAAGGATACACTCAATACTACTCAATTATATGAGTGCATGTAGAATTTATCCGATTGGTAAATGTTTTCTAGTGCAGGTTTGCAACAAAAGAAAAAATAACTTACAAAAATCCACTGGCTTCATTCAATCTTCTTCCCTGACTTTGAACACTCCCAAAGCAAAGTCCCTGCAATTGAGTCAACCCTGACTCACCACAACCCTGTAGCCCAGGGTCAACTGCTCAGGTGGTTTTCCAAGACAGTAGCTTTATGGAATAGACAACATCACTTTTCTCCCCAGTAATCCCTAGAATGAGCTAAACTTAAGTTATTAATTCAAAGATAAATACCAATATTTTATACTTCAAAGTACTAGAGGTTTATACTTGAAAACAAGAAGAGAACTATATTACTTAATAGAAAAAAATAATAGAGACTTGGATACAAATGTATCAGCATTATTCTTAGCACATTTTATTTAACAGCGCCACTCTATTTCTTGGGAGAAAGAAGCCATGCTTAATGGTAAGCCTATTACACAGAGCCCTCTCTCCCAGCTTCAGAGCACAGGGCTGAACAAAACCAGACAATGGAAATTTAGATATAGCTGGAGACATAGAATAGGATCTGTTACTTGGTTTGGGAAAGAGGCTCCAATCCCAACCTGACATAATCTAATGTTATCTTAGGCTCAATCTATTTGACAATATCCATCCAGTGTCCCTGTCAGGGGGTTAAATAAAAATTCTGTATGTATCTTGATGCAACCCTCACAAAAGGAAACTACATTTAGAAAAATATTTAAGTATAGTTCCCATGAGCATGTTCATTTCAGGAAAGAGTCTGTACTTGAAAGAATCAGGTGCACTTACCTATCAATGAAATAGCCAATGACAGGGTTCTCAGTGGTTGTGTTGGGTGGCTTCCAGGTCACAATGACGTAATCGCGGTTTGCATCATGGCATTGCAAATCCATGGGAGCTCCTGGAGCCCCTGTAACTAATGGATCCGCATCTGAGGTGGAGGAGATAGAGAAGCGGCATGTTTAAGAGAACTTAAAGGGCATCTGAAAGCGTAATATCAGTTTGATCAAACTCAAAATCGTATATGCTTAATTTGATCCACTGTGGAATCAAATTGCCTGAATACATGACCTCAGACATCCAACTAGCAAAATTAACTATGTAATACAGATTAATTACAAATATATATTTATGGGTAAATATTTTTTAAATACTCAAAATATTTAAACCTCTGTTACGAGTCCAAGTTTATTATTTCTTATCATTGGATCCAAAGTTGAAGCTAAACTTTTATTGATATATTGTCAAAAATTACTGATGAAATGATATTAAAAATTTGTACATTTTCCCATCTAAGAAATATTACATCAGATACTTCTGTACTTCAAACTCTTTAGAAGTTGTTGGTTTTTTGTTTTTGTTTGTTTTTTCATCAAGTTTGGAGCAATTGTTTGAGTCTATATTTATTTATTTCAAAGTCTATTTATGATCATAATGCAATTAGGTTTTGTTTTCAAATTTTAATTACAGCTGCACTGAAGGCTAACAGAGCTATTTAGAAAGTTAATACACTGAACATTTAATTTCCTTATCTAAAATATGTATTTATTCAGTAACCATGGTTGTGTAATACATTCTTAGCAGTGTAAGCATTATACAGTTTCTTGTTCAAGTCTTTTTAGCATATTAAAAGCACAGGGTTTCTTGACACTGAGCCAAATATTTTTTCACACACTCAAAATCTTCAGGAAATAATCAGAGTTGTTAAACTCTCCCAGACTTGCATTATTTTCTTCCTGTTGGTGGTGCTGAATAAGCAAGGCAATTTAAGCTATGTTGTATTTATTGCATTTTTATGGGGCGAAACATCTTGCCAGAAGGCAGACACAGAGAATGGAAGGTACATTTTAATACCAACCTAATAAATATGGTAAAACTTTGTGGAAGTGCCTAAACTCAAAGCCTCGCTAGTTTATGTTATTCCATGGGGGTGGGAAAGGGGAGGTATATTGGTTGTGTTATTATTCCATATTGTCTTCTTTTTTTTTAATATAGTATTCCCTAATGATACCAACTTTCCTTTATCCTCCTATCATATGCATCTAGTGGGGCAGTGAAAAGTAGTAACTAATAGCCTTGTTTTCACTGAGCATAAACTCAGAAAGTTGGAGATGAGTTGAGTATGGGGGTGAACAGATAGAGAAGCACTAAGTCCCAGCCAATCCAAATGGACATCCACCAGCACTGTGGAGCTGGGTGGAGGGAGCGCTGTGGATACAGAAAGACCCAGGAGACTCAAGACAGCCATTATTAACCCACTTTTGAAGCACTTGAAAACGATTCATAACAGGCTCAGCTGGGCCACAGGAAGGAGGCCGACTCTGGACAGATGCAGGGAATGGCCCGTGAGCATCGCTAAAATAAGCACAAGCGAGCGCCCTTCTCAGCAGTCGCATCAGGCCCAAAGGCTAGGACTTGGCAGAGGGATACTCAGGCTCCAGGTTCCCACAGAACTTTAATCCCTGCACCTCCACCCTTAAGGAAGAGTCTCCATATGGTCATTTGAGAAATCAAAACGGTAATATTTTCTTAAAATTTGTAAATATGTCTATATCTAAATTTTAATATACAGATACACATACCTATATTCACATATAAACCCAAAAACCTACGGGAACCCATGGAGTTGGTTGCAACCCACAGTGAACACCTAGGTTTCCAACGCTGTAATCCTGGTGACATAGTGGAGTTTTTCGTCAGTCTGCAAACTTCAGAGTCACCGGTTTGAAACCAGCAGCCACTCCAAGAGAGAAAGATGAGGCTTTCTGCTTTCATATAGTTAGGGAAACCCTGCCTTACAGAGTTGCTAAGAGAATCAACTCAATAGCAGTCAGTTTACTTCTTTACAGTTTTAGATCTGTAAAGAAACAAAGATCACCTTATCGTTCCCCTGTAGAGTGCCTGATGGGTTTGAACAGCCAACCTTGTGGTTAGCAGACCAGTGTTTACTCAGCAGCATCACCAGGGCTATAGTCTTTTTTTTTTGTGGCTATATTCTTATATGATAATCATATCTTTGATTTATATAGCCTAACACGGTGCCTGGATTATTCTGAGTGTTGATTTTCTTTTGATAAAATAGGGCTAATAAAGCCTGGATTAACAATGGAGCCCATGGAGTTATTGTGAGATAAAATGTGACAACACAAGTAGGGTAGCTAGCACTTTGCCTGACAGAAAACATGCTATAAATCTTACTTGCCATTATCACTATGGCTATAATCACCTTAAATACAAATTTGATTACAGTTAGTGATGAAAAATTAAAAAAAATTATAATAGAGCAGTAGTTTGTCTCTGTCCCTTCTTGAGCAGAAGTCTAGAGGGAGTGGAGAAGAGATAAACAGGAGGTTCCTTTGCTGATCTTCCCTGCCAGAGTGTCAGCCAGCAAACCCCGCTTTGCTCTTGGGCTGAAGTCCCTGGAGGAGAATGAGTAAATACAGTCTATTCATTTGGGTCTATCATTAGTGGCCTCTTGTAAATTTCATCAACTTTATAAACTGTTTTAGAAAGAAAAAGATACATGGCTCAAAATTATTCCAATTAGATATTACTTATTTTATTGCTCTAGTATCTGGAAGCAACTCCATGTATTTATTTTTGCAACTAAAAACATATCTACCATGCTACTAGCTAAACTTCTAAGGAGCAGAATTAATATTCTAAATTGTTCAAGTGTCGTGCTTCTTTTTCATGGCTTCCTGTATCTTCACGACGTCTCATCTTATCGCAAAGTCTTAGGCGTTGGCCAGAGCGATCTTCCTTACCTCTAACAAACAGAAAGGCACTGTGGTCACTCACGCCGCCTCTGGAAGCAATTCTCAAGGTGTAGAGGCCTTCGTCATCCTTATGCAGGTGGCTGAACGACAAGGAGGCCTGGCCTTCCCCAAAGAACATCTTTGTCCATTTGGATTCTTTCACCAGCACATCTGAAAGAGCATGGACATTCGAGATTTGCCTGAGAAATACTAGAAGAAAATATGAATGACAATGTGTATAACGTGAGAGAAGACAATGATATCTGACACCAATGAAAGAAAGTTTACTTTCATAAAATCTCAACACTGTTTGCATCAAGTGTGTGCACAAGTGAAATATAAACAGTGCAGAAGAAGCTATATGCTGGATGTGTCAAGGCAGAGTGTGACCTGGGGAGACCAATAGTGGAGTATTCAGAGAAACCTGGGTTCATGCTTCTCAGCTGAATGTCTGCTTTCCAATTTCCATTTTCCTCGCCGAGAGCACAATGATTTCTGAATGGCTGCCTCATAAGGCTCTTATTTGCAGTCAACGTTTCCATATGCTGAAAGCATTGTGCCCCAACTGCAACTCAAGAGAAGGCCTCTCTCAATGTTACCAGAAACAAATCATAAAAAAACACCCACAAAATAAACAGGCAATTTGTAAAAGAAGAAATGCAAATGGGTAATTTGCTGCTGCAAAAACGCCTTAACACTAATAATCAAGAAGATGCAAACGGAAAGAATGAGAAACTATTTTTCACCTACAGAGCTTGGCAGATGAAAAAGAGGGCTGCATCTGCCATGGGGAAAGGCAGAAAGACACACTCATGTCCTTGCGGCGGGAGTAGAATCACACAGAGGCCAAATGAGAATGTTTCTCAGAAGCCAGGAAGTACACATGCAGTTTTGGATACCAATAAAAATGCACAAATTTTCCTAAGAAATAAGTAGGTATAGGTGTAGATGAGAACATTATCCCAAAATTATTTTGAACAGAAAAAAATCAGCCAATTCAAAAGTGCACAGAGATGAACAGTGGTACATCCATATATAATTAGTAGAGGGAAGGGATCGTTAACACTATAGAAACCTGTGCATGGTTTATTATTAAGGAAGAAAGCGGTTTTTTTCATTGAGTATACGGTTCCTGCAGGTCAAGATAAGGAACAATGGTGAGAGTGTGAGCTATAGGCGGGGCTGCTATCTACAAGGTCAGCATTGGGAACCCACTAGCCCCTGGTGTAGCGGTTACATTGGGGTGCAATCCCCATGTTCGGCAGTTCAAACCCACCAGTTTCTCTGCTGGCCAAAGACCTGGCTTCCGACTACATGGAACACTTCATAACGATGGGTCAGCATTGACTGTGAGTCTGTGAGTCTGTGGAGGTGTCTCCTCCAGAGAAAGACCAAGCTCTCTGCTAAAGGTTTTCATTGTGGAACCCCCAAAAGACAGATTGACTCCACCCACAGGGTCACTATGGGCCCAAATGAACTCAATCCCAGTGGTTTTTGTTTTCGTTTGTTGTTTCCTTTTAAGTGGGGAGTGTAACACACACGGGGAAAATACACAGAGCGCGGCCCAGTTCATCAGCACTGGGACAGTACCCCAGCAAACCTCCCGCGGAGGTACCCCTATGTATCTACCCCACCTCTTCCGTCCTCTTCCTTCCGGCCTTCAACATGTGCTTCTTTTAGTGTGAAAACTATTTTTCTTAGTTTTTATATTAAATTGGACTTGTAAGCTTACAGATATTCTTAGTCAATGGGTTGCTGTAGAGGGCTTCAAATGTCAAGCCTACCCCCAACCCCCACACCCTGATTCACACTGTGGCTAGCTAGGTCTGGGAACTGCAGAATAGAAATAGCTACTGTAAGATGCTTCTTTTTCCAGTGTTTGTCTCTTTCCCGTAGGTGGACAATGCCTAATATATGGTGAGTGCAAAATACAAGGTAAAAAATAACAATAGAAATTAAGACGTCCAAAACATAATTAATGGAAAGGGCAGATGGAAATAAATGTTTAGACCCTGATTCTCTTTCATTTGATTTGTTGTGTGTTGTTAATTAAGTCCTAGATAGATCATCTTTGTAGAGACAGTAATATCCAAAATAATAATACAATCATCATAAAAGGTGGAGGAAGAACACATATAGTCAAGTTCTTTCTGCTAATAGATATGTGATTAGATAATTACAACAAAATGTACTCATTTAATGTCTAAATTTTACAGTTGCAAAAAACATAGCACAGCTCATAGGCTGTATCAAATTTTTTAAAATCCTTGCAATTTTTAGTATTAAAAATATAGGGTTGTCTAGAACACTATATATTTTCTCAATATCATATGTTTTCACTTAATTTGTGATATTGTTTGACTTAGAAAGCTGAACTGAGTGGAAAGGCACCAAATGTCACAAAATCAATTGCACTTGAGGGTTATGGACTAACATAGCCTTTCAGTGTGCATTTTTGTATACTTAAAAATATTAGAAAAATCAGGTGTTAATTTCCATAGAATCAAATTCTCACAATTTGATTACTATATTTTAAACTCTTTTACGTTTATACAGAAGAAAAATTACCTTTAGGGTCCAATATTAGTCTACTATCCTACAAGTGTATTCCAAAGGTCAAATGTTCCTGTATCTAATCGAGGGTTTCAATGATATCAAAGATATATGTACCATGATCCATATCCATAGTAGACTAGGCTCTTTTCTATGTCAGTAATGACAGGATTTGCTTTGTGTACATGATGCCTGAATAATGGATGCTTGCATTTACTAGTGTCAAGGCCGTCCAGAATCTAACACCAGTTCATCTGGTCAGGGGGATCTACCACCATTCCCCTTACAAATCACATGTCAGCGAAATTAATCTACTCATTGTCCCTGAAAAAGAGACTACACCCCTGTCACTCTGGGTGTTTCTCAAATACCATTTCTCCCGCAGCGTGTAATGCAGTTGTGTTCAGCATTAGCTACACATTGTAATCATCTGGGAAACACACACAAATTGTCACGTTCCACCTCAGACCAATGAATGAAAAATCTCCAACACAGGACAAGCTTTGAACAGGGTTTGGAATCTCCCCAGGTGATTCTAATGAACACCCAGAGCCAGAATCTGGGTCCTGACCCTCACCGCCTGCCTCTCTTCACAGACAAAGCCAATGGAAAGGTCCATCAGGAGGTGTTTAAGTAGCTCATTACTAAAGTGTATTAACATGAAGTCTCATTTGTTTGCCTATCACCATATTCCAGTTCAAATGATTTTACTGTGACTCTTTCGTCTCCATTTTGGGTAACAATTTATCTTTGCTGTTGCTGACTTACCTAGAAAACCTGAGGGAACTAGATTAGTCTCAATTATTTTGCAGCTGGACCCTCGGGCCCTGCTGGAGCATCCATTGTCTACTGTAGCCACTGTCCGTCCACTCCAGAAACTGCACTCCCCGTCTTAGTGGAGTTTTCTATCCACGTAACTAGTGGACAACTTGATTTGGGCAACTTAATTCGTGGTCTTGAACCCTTTCAAAATGGCCGTTCCAAATTTGATTAAACTTCATACAGTTAGTTAAAATAGGAGATGGAACACTTACCTGGAATACATTCCCTTCTGTAAGGGAATAAATCAATTAAACAAACAAAATGGCCTTTCTCCTTGGTTCCTGAGAGTCCTTTAAATGCCCTGTGTAACAGAGGTGCCTTTTTGTTACCTGAGTCTAAAGCCTACACCAGAGTATTTGTGCTGATGAATGAGGAGCTAGTCAAGTCACAAAAAAACACTTCCTGGCCTGCTCTCAGCCATCCTCAGGCAGGGGAGCATGGCTGGGTCATGCATGTGCTATAAGATGTCAATTATAACTATGCAGTGATGCCAAGAAAGTCTCTGAACAGAGCAGCTTCAGGAGATTGAGACTTGGTGGAAGATGTCTATGATTAGCAGTGTGACCCTGCTTGGACACCGAGGTCTGTGTTGAGAACGTTCTTGTAACTCTTCCCCCAAGCAACTCTCTGACGTGCTGGTCCTAGTTTGTGTCATTTTGCTATGAAAAATCTGTAATTATTTCAGCAAATGATTGAGCCCTAATGAGTAATGAAAGCCAGCTAGGTGGAAGTGAGGGGACTCAGGGAAGGCCAGCTTGTGCTAGCATCCCGTAGCAAAGTTGGGAAATCCCGAAATTGTGTCTCAGAGGTCAAAACAAATAATGCCTATGAACGCCTAAGCTTGGGCTGCATCTGCCTACTTGGCAATCTAGGGATGATGTCCTTTTAACATGTCAGGTCTGACCTACCTCAGGAATGAAGGTCTGGGTCACCCCACCAGGTAAAAAACCACAGCCAGCTGAGGTGCTTGCTGAGGGCAAAGGTAATACAGAATGGGTAGTAGTAGAAGGTAGTTCTACCTATCAATTATGACCATGTGATCAATTGCAAAAGCGAGGTTTGTAATTGTCAATGTATTTTCTTTTTATGTGTTTATTGCATATATTTCCTTCATTCAGGTATGATATATCAGGAATTTGGTTTTATCTCTCTAGAGAACCCTGTCTAACACATTTTGGTACCTCAGGAGTGGGGTACTGGAGAAGCAAATCATAAGCTAGAGAGTAGATGTTTGTCTGACCTCTCCCCCCTGGAAGTTTTCCTTCTTTGTCTAGCCAGAGGTCAGATAAAGCCACACTGTTTACTGGGTTGTTTCTGGGAAGTAGGAAAATAAAGTTTGTAAGTCCACTTGCTTCAGTCATTAAAAATTGATCTTTAAATGGGTTTAAGCCATAGCTATAAAAAAGCTTTGAAAATATATGTCCCACCCAGTGCTTTGGAATACTAAGGAACCAGTCTTTGTCAGTTGCTGGAAAAATTCTGGAACCATGAAGAAAACTCCCCTCTAGGACTGAATATTAAAGGGAGCCTGTGAGCACGCTGAAATGCTTGCTAGGTGACCACCTGGATCTACTTGTTGAGTGGCAGTGGGAGAAATGCAGCAATAAAGAGACAGGTTGAGTTTGCCCACTGACACCTGTGGACTTGGTCTACAGGGGAAAAAGGAGAAGACAAGAGCCGGTTGACTGGTCTAAGGTTCATGACCTAACTGAGGGGGCTAGGCTTGAGTTGGTGAGAGCCAATGGCCTAAGGAAAGGCGA